TAGACTTTGGGTAATGATTATGTCATGTCATTGTTGGTTCAGTGATTGAAACGGATGTGCCACTCTGGGAGTGAGGAGGGGGAGTTGGTAATGGGGGAGACAATCTCTGTACCTTTCCCTCCACTTTGCTATGAACTTAAAACTGCTCTATAAAAATAAAGTCTCAGTAAAAAATCAGTGTAACTCATATTAACAGATTAAAGAAGAAAAATCATCTGGTCATTTCAGTAAATTCCTTTATGATAAAAACCTCTTAGTAAGTTAGTAATGGACGGGATCTTAGAAACTGATAAGGCCCCCTTTACAAAAAAATTCATAGCTGACAGCATTCTTAATGATCAGAGACTGAAATGATATCCCCTAAAATCAAGAAACATGGCAAGGATCTTTGCCATTGCCAGTCCCAGTCAGCCACGTGCAGGAGGTCCCAGCCAGCGCAGTAAGGCAGGAGAGGAAGATAGAAAACTGAATCTGTTTGCAGAGGTCAGGATTGTCTTTGTAGAAAATCCTAAAGAACATACAAAAAACTCCTAGAACTAACAAGTAAATTTAGCAAAATTGCAAGATATAATAAAGTCAGTATTCAAAAATTAGTTGTATTTCTTTAGCAATGTCCACAATAGCCAAACTGTGGAAAGAGCCAAGATGTCCATCGACAGATGAATGGATAAAGAAGATGTGGCATATATATATACAATGGAATATTATGCAGCCATCAAAAGGAATGAGATCTTGCCATTTGCAACGACGTGGATGGAACTGGAGGGTATTATGTTGAGCGAAATAAGTCAAACAGAGAAAGACATGTATCCTATGATCTCACTGATATGAGGAATTCTTAATCGCAGGAAACAAACTGAGGGTTGCTGGAGTGGGGGGTGGGGTGGGAGGGATGGGGTGACTGGTGATAGACACTGGGGAGGGTATGTGTTCTGGTAAGCGCTGTGAATTGTGCAAGACTGTTGAATCTCAGATCTGTACCTCTGAAACAAATAATGCAATATATGTTAAGAAAAAAAAAAAGAAGGTAGCGGGAGGGGAAGAATGAAGCGGGGGAAATTGGAGGGGTAGACGAACCATGAGAGACGATGGACTCTGAAAAACAAACTGAGGGTTCTAGAGGGGAGGCGGGTGGGGGGATGGGTTAGCCTGGTGGTGGGTATTGAGGAGGGCACATTCTGCATGGAGCACTGGGTGTTATGCACAAACAATGAATCATGGAACACTACATCTAAAACTAATGATGTAATGTATGGGGATTAACATAAGAATAAAAAAAATTAGTTGTATTTCTTTAAAATAGCAACCAACAACTGGAATTTGGAGTTTTTATGAAATACCATTTACTATAGCAGAGAAAAGAAAACACTTGGACATATATCTGTTTACAAAATGTGCAGGATTTAATGCCGAAAACCGCTTAATACTGATGAACTCAAAGACTACCTAAATAAATGGAGAGAGCTACTTTGTTCATGGATTAGAAAATTCAGTATTGTTGGGTTGTCAGTTCTCCCCAGAACGATGTGGAGTGTCCATATAATTCCAATCAAAATCAAAGCAGGAGTTTTTGTAGAAATTAACAAGCTAATTCTAAAACTTATGTGGAAATTCAAAGCAAGTACAGTAGCCAAAACAATTTTGAAAGAGAAAAGCAAAATTGGAGTACTGGCACTCTCTGATCTAAAGCTACAGTAGTCAGGACAGTGTGGGATTAGCAAAAGGATAGACACAGAGATCACTGGAACAAAACAAGAGTCCAGAAGCAGGCCCACATGGTATGTGATCAGTTGGTTTTTGACAGAGATGTGGAGGCAGTTCAGTGGAGAAGGGATAGCCTTTTCAACAAATGGTACTAGAACAAAAAAAAGGGTGAGGGGCCTCAATATGTACCTTGCACATTATGCAAAAATTAACTCAAAATGGATCATAGGACTAAATGTAAATCCCAGAACTATAATGTTCTAGAAGAAGATCCGTGGCCTATGTTAGGCAGAGATTTCTTAGATGCATCACCGAAGCCCAATCCATAAAAGAAAAGTTGACAACTCGGATTCCATAAAATGCTCTTTGAAAGACTCTGTTGTGGGGCTCCTGGGTGGCTCAGTCGGTTGAGCATCCGGCTCTTGATTTCAGCTCTGGTTGTGATCTCAGGGTCCTGGGATTAATGCGTGCCTCCAGCTCTGTGCTCAGTGGGGCGTCTGCTTGAGGGTTTCTCTGCCTCTGCCCCTCCTTCTGCTGGAACTCTCGTTCACTCTCACACACACACACACACTCTCTCTAAAATAAATAAATCTTAAAAAAAAAAGGGGGGGGGACTCTTGTGAAAATAAAAAGGCAAGCCACAGACTGTCAGAGAATATTTACAAATCGTGTCTGAGAAAGGACTTATATCCAGATACTGTATAGCACTCAAAACTTTAGTAACAAGAAGATGCAGTTTTTAAGGTCAAAAGATTTGAGCAGACACTTAATGAATAAAATTATTTGTATAGCAAATAAATACATGACAAATGCCCATCATTTGTCATTACTGAAATTCAAATTAAAACCACATTGAAATGCCGCTACACACCTTTTGAATGACTTGTATTTGTTTCCTGTGACTGCTGTAACAAATTCCCGCAAACTGTGGCTTAAAACAGCAGAAATTATTCTCTGACAGTGAATGCTAGAAGTCCAAGATCAGCTACACTGCGTCCCGGGGCACTAGCGGAGATTCATCCTCAGCTTCTTCCAGCTTCTGGTGGCTGTTGGCAATTTTTGGCTTGTGGCCACCTCTCCATCTTTACAGCACCTCTGCTGTGTGTCTGTCTCTCCTCTCTTTTGAGGACATTCGGGATGTCATTGAGGGGCCATCTGGATAATCCAGGATAATCTCATCTCAAGATCCTTCATTAATTACATCTTAATTAAGGTAACATTCACAGGCTCTGGGATTAGTGTGCAGACCTGTCTTTGGTGGGGGAGCGGGCACCGTTGCCAACTCCACAGCTAAGCCAAACAAAATAAGACCGTACTCAGTGCTAGGGACGGTGGGGAGCACCTGGAAGTCTCACACGTTACTGTTGGGAATGCAGAGTCATACAACCACTTTCCAAAGAGGTGTGGCAGTTCTTACAAAGTTAAATAGACATTCATTGTATTATCCAGCAATCTCTTAGATACTGTCACAAGGAAAATATGTCCCACAAAATTGTAAGTGAATGTTTATGTCACCTTTATTCATAATCACACAACCTGTAAACTACCCAGTGTCCTTAAACTGGTAAATGGATAAAGAGGCTGTGGTACATCTATACAGTGGATTGTTCTTCAGCAGTAAAAAAGAATGGACTCTGATACATAAAACATTCATTGTTTCTTGTGCCTTTCCAAATTTAACATAGTCTAAATTTCACATAGTTTTACTTGGAAATATCAACATGGTTTTTGTTTTGGAGTCGTCAAATTCTTACTCGAATTCTTACATGCACTTGGAAGAGTGAAAGTGGGAGACTAGCCAGGAGATGTTGAGCAATACCAACAATTAAATCGCCTCCTGAGTATTACAGTTGCATCATTGTTATAATAAATGTGGCGGTATGATACCAGTGTAAGTCTTACTAAACACTACGGATATTGACTTCAGTACCTAAGTCAAAGCTAGTGCAGAAAATGATGCTCAGTAAGTATTTATTAAATGAAAAAATAAAGATTATATGAATGCTTAAGGAATTTTAGTATATGGTTTTTTTATGCTTTTTCACATAAGGGGGGAAATGTAGATTTTCTATAAATGTTGCTTAGAAATTGACTTACCATTTGAGAAGAAATACCGTATCTATACCTGTTTTGTGTAAAAAATAAATTCCAGATGAATTAAATTAAAATACTAGAAGAAAAGTGTATAAATACTCTTAGAATTATGGGCTTGTAAAGAACGTTTAAGCTTGGCTCCCTGGACAGAAACTGTAATAAAAGAAAGCTGTATTCGGCCACATCATTTATTTACTAAAACCCCTAAACATTAAAAAACACTAGCCAAAGTAAAAGCCCTTTCCTTTCCCCTGTTCTATTCCGTTGAATTTCTGAATGCTTTTACCTGCAGCTCTGAGTTAGAAGTGGTTTACTCATGTGGAATACTTTCAAAAATAGTCCTAATAATTGCTCTCCAGGTGTGAGCTCCATGCCGGGCGGCATGCTCAGCCCTTTGCGTGAGCACTCCCCTCACAGCGGGCCTGGGAGAGACTGTGTAGACGCTCCCAGTGTCCGTAATAGAACCCACAGCTGGTGAGTGAGGATCCAGGGCTGGGGCTCTGCAGCTGCATCATCAATGACTAGTTTACACTGACGACCAACTGACACGCCACTTGCCGGTCTGTCTTTTCACTTGAACTGCACGCCCACATTCTTAGACCACCCCCTCTTCTCCTGAGGTCGTTTCTCCTCCCACTTTAAGAACCCCTTGGCCTATGTGCTCATTAAAGCCCATTGAGATTGAGCGTCTCATTCCACTCGTCATCACTTTCCCGTCAGGAGTAGATGATAATGAGTATAGATTGAGCTTTATGTGGAAGAGTGATTTACGCTTTTTAAGTAGGAAACAATGTTGGTTACCCACGGAAAACCGTATGGAGCAGATACAGGCCTGTTGATTATCAACATCTCAGATGACATATAGTATGGTATGCCCTATAATTCAGGGATCTGATCTCCTTTTGCTTTCCAAATTTCCTGGTAGAGACCTGCTATTAGAATCATAGGTATAAAGAGCTTATAAGGTTTGGGAGAATGGGAAGAAATCACATGTAATTTCTCTCCTGACAGTTTAGGCCTGTGGATTTCAGGTCATGTTGCTGCTCCCCAGCAAGCTTGTATTAACAACACCCCCTTCCTATCTCTCCAGAAATGTTTATATAATCATATTTATATAGCTATTATATATCTACCTACATGCTGATAGGGAGCACCTTGATTTGTTTTGAAATTATAATAAAATTAACTTGCTTTGTTTCAAGATTTGAAGGCCATATAGAGATCTGCCCGCCAGGCATGAGTCATTCGGCTTGTTCGGTCAACAAGAGTGTTTTAGAAGCTATCCGAGGAAGACTTGGATCTTTCCATGAACTCCTGCTTGAGCCACCCAAGGTAGGGCAGCTACTTTAAGCATGGCCGGGTCATGGCTGGCCAGGTCAATAATTTGGTTCAAACAGTTGTTAGAAAGTATATGAACCTTGTGGGTAATAGAACTGGCTACGAACAGCATGTACAAACCAGCCCTTCCAGTTGTTTTTATTGGTTTTGAGCTAGTTTTTATTTGGCTTTTGTCTCTATGTAGTGTCCACATTGATGAATGGGGTAGAATTAAAATTAAGCAAAATATTTATCTATTTAGGAAACTCAGCTTTTTGTTCTTTCTTTCTATAAATTCTGGGTACTTCTATGCCAATAAAGTAAAGTGTGTTTTCACTTTTGAGGTAAAGCTAATATTTCAGGGACTGATCTTTGAGACTGAGTTGCCTTATTCAGAGTTGGAGGGGTGTATCAGTCTGATGGGCAGGTATCTTATTAAAGGACTAGTCGGCTGAGCGTGATTCAGAGTGCTAGTGTTTCCACTGGGAGAGTCCGCGTGCTCATCCACAGTGACTTCAATCAGGGAGTCCGCCGAGCGCATGACAGACAGGCCCTGCGCGAGAGAGCTGTCCACAGGCCCTAAGTGCTGTTCTGCCACTGCTTCCCAGCACCTAAGGGTGGTGCAGAGATTGAGATCAGGGTAAGGAGCCCTTCCTTGTAGAATCTCTGTGGAAGACTCAGGTCTGCGAGAGTTCCCCTGCCAGCACGACTCCTTACACTTCCCTTACACTCCCCCCTGCCCTGTGTCATCGCAAGCTGTGGCCTGTTGTAGTGCGTTCTCTGCGGCATCCACTGTGAAGGGTATCAGGAATTTAAGATTTTAGTTTCTCCCTTCTGCGTTAGATGCTTTTTATGTATTTTAGCGTTTGTGGAGGGGGAACACAGAATCATTTATGTCCATGACGCAGGGAGTTGAGTTTAGCTTCCACATGGTGTCTTCAGACGGCTGATGCTACCAGTTAGCAGGCAGGGGCCCTGTGTGGGTCATGCTGTCTTGTCTGTGTTCAGCCAGTGCTGGGTGCAGGCTGGAGTGTTTGGCGTCCACTCTCAGGGACAGTGGCTCTGCTGGTGTTTAAGGGTTTTTGGTCAGTGGCATCCTTCTTGGCAGCTGTGAGAAGAAGAATGGGAGAGTAAGGAATGAGAAATAAAGGATTTATTTAGGAGAAGTGGAAGTTGGAGATGGGAGAAGGAGATGGGAGAGAAGAGGCTGTGTGAGGAGGTGCTCCAGCCCGTGTCTTTGTTGGCCTGCCTGTCTTCTTTCTAGGTGGACAAAAGGCAGCATCTAGTGTAGATTCTCACACTGTATTCTTGGTCCTGATTCAAAAGCAGGGCAGTTTCTCATTTGGGCTTCCTCTCTTTTACTGCTAGGAGTCCGTGAGTTCAGTTTGTACGTGGTTTTACTACGTGATGTGGTGTATGAGTAGATTCCTGAAGCTTTTTAACATGTCTGTTCATTGGAGCTGCCTTGCATGGAGTATAAGTGTGAGCCTTCCATTCCATTAAGCCTTGAGAGGAGCAGGTGGGGGAGTCAGGAAAGGGCAGCCTCGCTGCTGGGTTAGAATTCACCACACTTTCTTGTCAAACCTGTGAAATTCTCAAGTGTCCTGTGTCTGTCTTCTGTCACCAAAGTATAGAGACTCCCTTTTATGGGCAGTAACAGGTTTGAAGTTGATCCTGTTTCAGGGCTGTGATCCAGAAGCAATCAGAGTTTGCATTTTTCTCACAGATTGAGGACTGTGTTCCCAAACCACTTGTAACTTTTCTTAGTTTCAGGATTTCTGGTCAGGTTTGGAATATTGCACTTCTTCCCCCCCATGAACTTCTACAGCATTCTGCTTTCTTCCTCCGGCAGTTTGGAATGTTGAAGGAGGGGGATATCTGATCTCCTATGGAATTTCTAGTCCAGGGGAGTTACTTGATTTCCTCCCCTCTTGGATATTTTATCATACCTTGAAGATCTCAAAAGCAGCTTTGGATTTTCCTTCAGATGTGGAACTCAGGCCACATGATTTGCAGGGTTAGTTTACCTAGTGTTACGTATTAGTACACACCCCTCCCCCGCTTTTGTTTGTTTATTGAACTGGACGTAATTGGAAAGCTTTTTCTTCCTCAGAAAAGTGTGATGAAGACTACGTGGGGTGTGCTGGACCCTCCGGTGGGCAATACCCGATTGAATGTCATCAGGTTGATATCCAGCCTCCTTCAGACAAACACCAGCAGTATCAATGAGGACCTCATGGAGCTGAATAGCATTGGGGTCATATTGGTAAGGTTTCCCCCAAAAGGTCATTTAATTTGCCCGTGATGTTTTATGGATATACAACTCAAGTTAAAACCTCACAAATTTACAGTATGGGTCAGTGACTCTTCTTGTTCTGAGCATAAATGGTCTTTTATACAGTTCTCGTCTTGAGTTTATTGTCAATTTCTAATGCTTTTAAGTTTTCAGTATGTTACTGCTGTGTGTAAAGACGTACAGTAGAAAATTTCAGAGATGATTAAGACCTAGACTTCTCCCTCAAGAAGCTCAGTCTGGCACAGATGATTGGGTATAGTCTTCTTCCCCAGGGGATTGTGTTAGCAAGAAATGACTGCTGGTTACAGCATTGTTTTCTTGTCCTAATTAGCAAAGGGACAAGTGTTTATCGTCTGTACTGACATAGATCTGTATAGTATATCTGTATGTGATCTTTTGATTTGAGTCCAGATTCTTCCTTGATACACACTGCTATTAGTCTGCTTGTTAGTGGAGACGGAAACAGCTCAGGAATTATCTGGACCTCCCTGATGCTTAAGTTACCCAGTTCCTAGGTTTGTGCTTAGAATCCACAGGCCCAGCTCTGGTACCCATGCTTGCTTTGTCTGTCCTGCCACCCGATAGCGCAGAAGGTGCGAGCGCTAACACTTAGCCAGTGTCATAAGACATCTGGTCAAAGCATACATTTGGGGGAGTTTGGGCTGTTTGCACACTACACGAAAGGCATGGTAATGTGCACTTTATATACATTTCTTGTGTGATGCTGGGTGTAGATGCCTGTGTGAGAGAGGATCTGTTTTGCAGATTGTACCCAGAGCGGGGACATACTCTTTGTGCCCCAAGGGGGGACGTTATTCTGTGACTAATAAGTGGTAGTCCACTTTGGTGGTAGTTGCTTTATCAACCACACCGTTATGCCACCTGGTGTCATTAGATACTTCTAGTTAGATTTCAGCTTTGGGTTAAATGATGGCAGTATAGGGATAGAGAACAGGAACATGCTGGAGCAAGATGAAACATTACAGAACCACAGTCTCTTTGGTGAACTTAACTGTTGCCCTCTGAGGGCATAGTTTTTGCCCTACCATCTGGTGTATTCAAGGCATAGAACTTTCTTTTTTTTTTTTTTAAAGATTTTATTTATTTATTTGAGAGAGAGAGAATGAGAGAGAGCAAGCTCATGAGAGGGGGGAGGGTCAGAGGGAGAAGCAGACTCCCTGCCGAGCAGGGAGCCCGATGCGGGACTCGATCCTGGGACTCCAGGATCATGACCTGAGCTGAAGGCAGTCGCCTAACCAACTGAGCCACCCAGGCGCCCCAAAGCATAGAACTTTCTACTCCTGTCCATGAAGTCATCGATTACTAGCCTCTAATCTTAGTGATAGTAAATATGCAACTATTAATTCATTCCATTGTTAATCTTTAGAACTGCTTTTGAGTGACAGCAAATTTGACAGAACTCCTAAATGGGTCATTTAATCATTTCTTTTTGATTTTGAGTTTAGATAACCAGACTCAAAGAATGTCCTGAATATATATTTGGTGCATTTTGTGCTTTTAGGAATTGTCTTTCCTTTTTGTGATACTGTCAACTTTTTGAGCAATCTGGAAAAACCGTGTACTTTGAAAGGAGGTCCACATGTCACCGCTTCTCAGACCTGTCTTCTTGCTCCATTCACTGTTCCATGAGTTTCAAATGCCTGAGTGGTTATAACTGAGTGCTTATTCACACTCAGGGTGTGTGTACCTTGAGATTGGAGACTGTCTTTCTAACTCTGTGTCCTCCCATATTGCACCAACACCCATGCCCTGCACAAAAGCCATCAGTAAATGTTTGTTGAGTCAAAATAAAACTCTCAAAAATTCCTTCAAAAAGTATTGGAAGTTAACTAAACTTAATACCTATTATTAGTTGCCGGGAAAACATAGTGTTCCCGTGTTCATTGTTCTTTTCTACTAGGTTCCATGCAAATGCTGGCATGTTGAATGAGCAGATAGCGTGTATTTAGTCTGTGTAGTGGCATTTCAAACCCCCTTTAAAGTAAACTTGAGTTCCTTTTGATTAGTCCTCTTGGACTAAGAACATACCATTTTTATTTTGTTAAATCACTGTTCATGAAATGTATTAGAGTAGTGGCTTTAAACATTGAGGTAACTGCATAAAAGAAAGCATTGTAGCATTGTTTTTCTTTTTTGTAGGACATGTTCTTCAAATATACGTGGAATAACTTTTTACATACACAAGTGGAAATTTGTATTGCACTGATCCTTGCAAGTCCTTTTGAAAATACAGAAAATAACACAATTACTGATCAAGACTCCACTGGTGACAATTTGTTACTGAAACACGTAAGCTTACTGGGGTCTCTCTGCCGTTCCTGGTTATAGCATTTTCCCACTTCAGTGTGAAATGAATTGGAATTTAAGGGCGGGAGTTAAATCTCAAGAGTCCAGGTATTTAACTCTTGTGTTCGTCACACTGTTAGCCGGTGATTCTATAAATCATATCCTGGGCAAATAAGCATTAGATGAACTTTTAAGAAAAAAGTCTTAAGTGGCCTCCTTACTTGCTAAAAACAATCAAGTTAAAGACTTAGAAATCTTTTGGAGATCAAAAGAACCATAAAAATTTAAAGACTGCAGAAAGCGTTTGAACAGTTGTTTGGCGTGCCAGTTCTAATTTGTGGGCTAAACGCGGGACAGATGGGTGGCAGAAGTGGGCTCTGTGCCATGTTGAGTGAACCTCTTCTGTGGGTCTGTTTCCTTTTGTTAAATATGAGGTGGCACGAAGTCAGTCTTCACACTTCTTCTTGCCCGGAGGTTCTGTGGTGTATGAAATTTCCTAGCTCACGCTGGCTTCCTGCCAAACCTGGGAGACGGGAGAGGCCAGCCACCTGGAGTAACAAGTAGGCGGGAAAGACCGCTGACGCCGCGCGCATCCCGCCAGCATCATGCGCGGCGCTGGTTTTCAGTCGGAGCGCAGTAACGGCAGCGCGTGCGGCGAGTCCGCTCACGTTTCAGAAGTACAAGTATTGCTGCGGGTTCTCAGATAGGGTTTTGCCAGGGCCTTATCTTCTTGATTCCTTTTAAATTTCGGTCAGGCTCTGTATTTCTGAGCTCACGACTAAAAAAACCTGGCTTTGCTTTAGGTCAACTACTCCCCGGAAGCGGTGCTTGAAATGTTGCTTCCCAGTAGCTACACTGCTGAAGGCGTAGATCCGGTCTCGAATCCCTGTAGTGTTGTGACGGCCTTGAGTAAATTTATTATCACATTGCATAGGATATAGCCAGTAATTCACAGCTAGATTTAACTTGCTGGGTGATACGTAGCACTGTTCTATTTGAATAGAGTTCTGTTTCACTTTAAAATATTGACACTTTGACATTTATATGCATGTTAACTAGAATATTCCTTTTTATGTAGCTTTTTCAAAAATGTCAGCTAATAGAACGGATACTGGATGCCTGGGAAATGAATGAGAAGAAACAGTAAGTAAATTGTTTTCCTATAGAAATTCAGTGTGATTTTTAATTTGAAGAAAAGATCTGCCTTGCCTTAGAGAACAATGAAAATAATTACGTGGTAGCAGGCCACTTTATAGTTATAAATGTTTCTCTCGGGACTTCTGGATCATTTATCGTAGCAGATCTTTTTCTAACAATTTATTTTTAGAGTGCCTGTGTTTCTACCTCTCTTGAGGGGAATCCAGGGGCTGGCTGCCTTTGAAACTTCCTGGTCCTGTTTGAATAGCTGTTTTTCTGGCAGGAATGTGGAGACTAAAAAAAGTCAAGTCCTCCCTGATGATGCTTTAACTTAACAGGTTCGTCCTGCTTACCCCATGGACTCACTGTAGAGAGAGTCCCTTCGTGTATGGGAGGAGGATGGGGGGTGGTTAGCCTGGTATTTTTTAGAAAATTTCTGTTAGCTGATTGGCAAGATTATTTGAAGTATTGACACGTGTGGGTAGCTTTGCCACACACATTTTTTTCCTCTCCCGTGCCCTGGGGGCTTTTATACCATCCCGTAGATTCTGAGGCAGGTGGCATAGGGTGTGTTTGGGAAACACTCTCAGGGCACGCTTCTTCTGTTTGTTGTTTAAGTCCGGTTTATTGAGGTATAATGCTCATAAGGTGAAAGTTCATCCTTTTTTGGTGTACACGTCTAGGAACTCTGATGAATGCGTGCAGTTCATGCACGCACGAGAGCTGTGGTCAGGCACGAGAGCATTTCCTCGGCCCGAAAAGTTACCTCGTGTGTCTTCATAATTGAACCTGTGCCAGGAATTTTCTTGCTCTGTGTATCTGTTCAGATCTCTCTTGTGGCCCCTGGAAGAGCTGGGAACTAAAGAAAGGTGTCAGCCTTATTCTGTAAGGCTTGGTTTTTTTAAAAGTGCCTGCTAGCACTGATAGGGCTCTGACTTGACTCTGGGAAATATGCATTTAGTTTGAGTGTAGCAGGGGCTCATCTCGGTAGACCTCAGGTACATTCTTCCAAATGGAGCTCCTTTGGGGGGTTCTGTGTGTGGCCAGATCAGCATCTCTGGTTTTGTGTTTGACCCCACGTTAGCCACTTTGTGCCCTCCTGACCTCCCTTGCTCTCTGCCTCCTCCTCAGTAGTGCTGAGGTGTCCTGTGCACTCTGTTTCCCCCCTGCTCCATCCTCCGGAGGCTTTACTACTAATAGTCCGCCGATTGGGGCGGGGCGGGGGGGGGGGTCCTGAAAGACTTTTTCTAATGTTTCCTTGTCCCAGAAGCCTAAAGAATGTTGAGGGCCTTGGGGCAAAATACTGGCAGGTGGGCATTTGTTTTCACTTGTGGGAGCACGATACGGCATCTGACTGAGAAGTTGCCTGCGAGGAACCCAGGGGTCTTGGGATCTTCTTGTGAAACCAAAAGAGGCTCTTAGCAACTCAGTTGAGATCAGCTCTGTGCCTCTGACCCTTAGCTGTCCCCAGACCTTCTAAGATTATTAGCAGATACTCTGTTTCTCAGGCAAGCCTTTAAGCATAGTACAGCTTTTTTAGCGGCTCTTGAAATTTCGAGTCTCCCTTTAAACAAAAATCTGTTCAGTTTGTTCCCTCCTATCTGCAAGCAAAGTCTTTTGTGTCATAGAATTTAAAGTTCTGACGCTTTATAAATAGGCAGAGAAATCACAGCAATGTGAAAAGTTTATCTAAATAGGTGGATTTAGGGGGCATTTGGGTGGCGCAGTTGGTTGAACATCCAACTCTTGGTTTCAGCTCAGGTTGTGATCTCAGGGTCGTGGGATTGAGCCCTCTGTCAGGCTCCACGGTTGGTGCAGAGTCTGCTTGGGACTCTCTCGTCTCCCTCTGTCCCCGCCCCCCCCAAAATAAATAACTAAATCTTAAGAAAAATAAATAAATAAATGGGTGGACTTGGGGCACTTGAGTGGCTCAGTCAGTTAAGTGTCTGACTCTTGGTTTCAGCTCAGGTTGTGATCTCAGGGTTGTGAAATCAGGTCTCCATGCTAGGTATGGAAACTGTTTGAGATTCTCTCTCTCCCCCTCTGTCCCCAATGAGTGAGTGAGTGATAGATAGGTAGGTGGGTGGATTTAGTAAAGATGGGTCCTGCTTAGGAGGTCCTGCTTAAGTGGGGGAAAGGGGCATTGCTGGCCGAAGACCAGCTGACTACCCATCGCCTTGGCCAAATCCTCAAAATCAGCCACTATTTTAACTTGAGAAATGCCACTGGTAGGCGATTATGTCTGTTAATTGAACTGAGATTATGAAGATTTGTTGTCTTTTAGCAAAATTCTCACCTTATGTTCCTGTAGTCTTTTTAAAATCTGAAAAAATAGTTTCATAAAAGGATACAGAGGAAAGTCACAGCAACATTAGGTATCAGTGAATGTTTGGGCTTTTTTTTAAGGTAATATGTAATTGAAGATTAATGATTGGTTTGTATGTGGAATAAACCTTGCTGGGGCGCCTGGGTGGCTCAGTCCTTAGGCGTCTGCCTTCGGCTCGTCCTGATCCCAGGGTCCTGGGGGAAAAAAAACCTTGCTGAGCATGGCCACCATGGGATCCTTGAGCAGACCATTTCTGCCACTCCCACCCCTGCCTGACCTGATGACTCCGGCACCTCCTTTTCTGTCCATTCTCATCTTTAGGGCCTCAGTTTTTAGAATGATCGCTCCAGCCCACTGTATTTATTAAGCTGCTTCATCATTCCATGCGATCAGGAGTCTGAGTCTTTGTCCTCTCCCCGTCAGGGCCGAGGGAGGCAGACGGCACGGCTACATGGGACACCTGACAAGGATAGCTAACTGTATTGTGCACAGCACTGATAAGGGCCCCAACAGTGCATTAGTACAGCAGCTTATCAAAGGTAAGTGCTTTTTGAAAGTTTAATTATATTTTTGTTGGATTGGAGAAGGGATTTAAGGGTAAAGTGGAAATAATCATAGCGTTTTTAATAGCAGTCTTTGGAGTTTCTTTATACTTTGCAAATTATCTGGAGATTGGAATGAAGTTCTTGAGAATGTGTTTAAACAATGTAGTTCTTTGCTGTATGTCTCACGTCTGCAGTCCTTTTAGTGAGTATTGGCAGGCTTGGCTGAGGTACCCGCTTTCACTCTCGAGGAGCCTGCTCAGTGCACTGCTCCGGTGTGCACGGGGTCCCCACGGGCTGACTCTTGAGTCACTTGAGCTATGATCAGATGCTTGCTTTTTATTTTCTTCTGAAAGCCCCTACATAGCCTGTGGATTGAGTTCCTTTAGCTGGGATATTAAAACATTGATCCGCATGTTTGCCCTCTCTCTCTTACTGAGATGAGGGGTGGTGGACCCTAAAGGACGCTTTCCATACCAGCATTTGAATGGAATCAGCCTGAGGTTCCTGGGAAGAAACCACGGATGCCTCTCACACTGGTGCCCAGGCTGTGAGTCTGCCTCTAAGCCGAGAGCCCTAAGAGCTCTGTGGACTCTAGGGTTTGGACCAGTCCTGTGACTTACTCTGAATGTGAAAATCTTTATCCCCTGGGGTACCGAACTCGTCCAGGCTCAACTTGCTAAAACTGGACATCGTTTCCAGGTCTATTCTCTTTGTCTTTAAAGTATGTCTGTGTGTTGGAGAGGCTGTCACCTCTCGAGCACGCACTGAAAGAGCTGCTCCAGGTAAGGGGGCAGTTGGGGCTTGCCCCGCTGTAATTTTGCTTCTTGAGAGAGGTACAAGCCAGACCATCACAGCTGATGTTCTTACCAAGGAGAAATGGTCACGTGCATGATCATGTTCCTTAGATCAGCCTTTGTTGTTCCGAAGTTGCTCACCAGGTGGTGTGGGGAGGACACACACGCATGCGTGTTGAAACCGCAGTTGTGGGAAGACAGCTCTTGTAAGGCCTCCAGGATTATAGCCAGAGTTCCTTTTTCTCAGAAGAAGTATTTGTGTATCCTTTTTTTTTTTTTTTAACTTCTCTAGAGGGGCTCCTGGGTGGCTCAGTCCGTTAAGCATCTGCCTTCGGCTCAGGTCATGATCTCAGAGTCTTGGGATCAAGCCCCAAGTCGGGCTCCCTGTTCTCTGCTTTTCCCTCTGCCCCTTCCCTCCGCTTACGCACACTTGCTCTCTCTTACTCTGTCAAATTAATAAAATCTTTAAAAATAAATAAATAAAATTTCTGTAGTAGGTAGAATTTCACTATTGCATATGTATCTCCATGTTGGTCTCTGGGCACAGACGTTTAGAAAACAGCCAGACTGGGTTCCATGGAGCATTCACTGGCCACATGCCAGTCACAGTATCTGACGAGTGTGCAGACGCTTTCGTTGGCAGCATTTCCCAGATTTGAATGGTCATGGAAAAAGACGGCTTTTCCTCTCACCTTTATTAAAGACCTGCTAATTCCTCAGAAGTTTGTTGGAAACACATTTTCCAGGTTCAGTTTTTACCAAAAGATTTTTAAAAGCTTGTTAAATTCACAGAGCTGCTTAACACCCTTGTCATCAAGCATGGGCCATTTTGGGGGTGGTTCTGGTTCCTGAAATTCCTGGGGCTTAGGCTGCAAGGCTTTATAAACTCTGTTTCTTCAAGAGTCAGGTGCTCAGATGATGGGACGTGTTTGCCTTGGATGGACTGAGTGGGTGGCACTCTCTTGTATATCCTGTTTTTTTTGTTTTGTTTTTTTTTTAATGTGTCTGTGTGGAGGTCACTAGAGTGACAATACAATGCCTTTTTCTCTTTCTCCCTCTGCAGACCTTCCAGATGCAGTCAGGGAGCGGTGGGAGGCGTTCTGCACAAGCTCCTTGGGAGAAACTAACAAGAGGAACACGGTAGATCTAGTAGGTTTTACCAGGTCACATTTCTGTGACCCCAGTGCTCTCAGCCTTTGCCTGCTTATTCAGAGATGCAAGATCTTTCGTTTGTCTCGGTGATTTGGGGCCAAGAATAAGTTTATGTTTCTTTACCAGGAAGAGAGGTCAGTGTTCACCATATTCTTGATAACTTGTCTAGTCAGCTCCTAATTCCTGCCTGGGATGACCAGAGGGTACAGAGAGGCCACTGATCTCTACACTCCCCTGCCCCCCCCCCCCCCCCTTTCCTCAGTGCCCTGTTCCCCAAGCACCTCTACTCTGTTGGGTTTGTTGCCTTATGCCTCAGATAAGCCTGGGTGGTTAGAAACCTCAGGATTCCTGTGGGTGTTTTTTAACGTTACTCAGTTACGTTTACCCTCATTTTAGATTGTTCCCAGGGTGGGGGTGAGGGGTGGGATTTTGTAGGTGACTTTGAAACCCCATCTTTAACAGATTAGTACTTTTAGCCAGGGAATAATGGCATTGATAATATTTTTTAAAATTATATTGGACTTTGGAATGTATTCTTTGTTTTTTTAAGGCATTAAGATTTAAGGTAAGTATTGCTTTTGCTTTTGCTTTTAAAGATAGGGAAAGCATTTCCTTTCGTAAGCACATGCCAGCTGATAATTGAGGTGGTGACCTTAACTCTGCATGGAAGTAGATGTGTCAGGCATTTAATTCTGTGAAATGCAGCAGCTGCAGTCTGAATTTCTAATACACACTAATGCCTTGCTTGTTAGGCAGTCAGGTATTTGGCAGCCTTATCAGTTCAGAGCAGAGTTTAGAAACAGAAAGACTCTGGCGGCTACAGAGCGGTCACTAGGTCTTCCTGTGTCACACCCCCAAAGGGCCGTTGCCTACTACTTGGTAGATTGTCTAACACATTGGGTTATCTTTTTCCAGACTCTTCACAGATTGGTTGGGTAATGGCTTGTTAAGGATGGGTGTAATGATAGAATCAGTAGGAGTTGAAAGAATGATGAAGTTAAGAGATGACTATAAGGAGAGCTGTGTGAGGCCATTTAATTAAAATATGTCTGATGGCCCTCGGTGTCTTAGTGCATCATAGCCCAGCAGAGAAACTGGCATCCACTTTGACAGCCCTGAGTCATTAAGGAAGAGTTAAGTAATTTTTGATGAACATACTATCCACAGTGGATTGCTTTTTTCCCCAATCAAATTGATTAAAAATCTGGATAATCAGGGTTTTATTGTAGGGTGAAATTGTTCTCTTATAGTGTTAAATGGAACCGTTTAATTTAGAAGCCCCATACTGATTCTTTGTTAAGGATGCAGGCAATGTGGTCTCCTTTAAGGGATTTTTGTCTTACTTCTTATTTATAGGAATATTACACTTGATCTTAGCCAGAAGGCCGAGAATTCTGATTTTGTTTGGGAAACTCCTTTAAAACTTGTCCTTCAAAGGATTGACTTCAGAGGTAGACTTCAGAAATGTCCAGTTAAACTTGTTGATATCAGGAGTTTTCAAAAATTTACCTTTGGTAATTCAAATTCATTTCCCTTGTGAGCAGTTCTGTGTAAAGAAAGACCTCATTGCAATTCAGGTAACACTCAGCTAGTTTGCATGATGCTATCAGTAATCTGGTCTGTGACTGTGTAAATGTTATGTATGTCTACATAATGGAACGTGAACATGCGGTGCGCAGTTAACATGCAGCAGACACATCTAACATCTAGACTTTTATACCTATGTGGAAGGGAAAATTATCCTGGGCCCACCTATCACTAGTGGCAGCTTAGTTCTCTTTTGCTAGTAGTAGTCAGACTTCTAGAGCTCTGGTGATACTGCTCATATCCCATGTTGAGTTAGCCCCACTCTGTAATTTTATTGTCCATTGGGACTTTCAGGTTGATGTCTCATGACCTGTTCAGTTCCTTGATCCCACGTGCCCAGTACTTAAATACCATCTCCCTTTAGTTTTAAGGCCTTCCAGGAGGGAATTTTGCTTTGTTTCGTATTTTTAGGGATACACACGTTCCAGGTTTTTGAGGATGCTTAAGCATCCTAAGCCACAACGGAGACGTTCACTGCAGCCTTCAGGCTCTCCCCTTTTGTGCCCAGATTGTTTCAGATTATATCCTAGTGGGGATTAGAGACTGTGTTCCAGTGAGTATTATAAACCCAGCTTGATAAATGCAGTGGGTCTTGCCCTTGCAAAAATGTGCTACAGAATGGGAGCTTCACACTTCATGGAGCATGAAGTCTAAGTAAAAGCCATTCCTAAAATTGGCAGTTGAGTAATAGATTGCTTAGTCCCCGTCCCCTCCCCAAATAGATTAGATTAGATCCCCCCGTCTTGATGCCTTGACTTATTAGTTGGTTTTATGATGGCTCTGATACCTCTCTGAGAGTCCTTTCCAGTATATTTATAGGACTTGAGTCACCTGTAGTTCAGCACCAGATGTTTGGGTTATACCTTGTTACATGGCCCTGGCCTATTCTTACGTTCTAGCCACAACAAGGATTCGTTCATTAATGCACCAGACACTTACTGTGCTACCGGCTGTGGGCCTGAGGTCTGCTCACTGATGCAGGAAAACCTGTGTCAGTCCCAAGCTCTTACCACTTCTGGGGCAGCATTTGAGTTACCCTCTCTCTGAGGTCTTTGAAGTCCCTCAATCTGTTGACCTAATCACACCCAAGTATATACACAGTAGACTCATAGATTGTTATGTTTTTATGTTGGGAGTCTTATTATGAATGAAATTTGGTGTATTACTTACATCCAGAGACCTCTTTGCGGGTCTGTTGGTAAAAATGGGTAAACATTTAGACCTAGTATATCTAGGTAACATAGATGTATTGGTCCTGACTATGGAAGGCTGAGTTTGCTTCGTTCTCTGCCTTCCTTTCCATGGGGGAGAATGTTTTCTTCTGAAGTATTGGTGCTTCTTTCTCATCACTGATGAGCTTGTCCAGGGCGGCTGTGGAGAATGATACACATGTGCAGTTGTGAATTGCCTACAGATCCAGCAGGTTGGAGTAGAACCTCCCAGAGTTTGTGTTTCTAGCCAGCGTTGGTCATGTAGATGCCAGGGGCCCACAGCAGGACCCTGCTGTAGCCAGGAGGAAGAGTCTGTGACTTCCACATTTCACTTAGATTAACGTTCCAATCATGCTTATGATCTTTGTAGTAAGCCAGTCAGTCAAGATGAAAACACTCACTTGCTTGTCCTGTAACAACAGTTAATAAAACTGAAATTTTATTATGAAAGAAGCTCACTGTCTCGAAAGCTTTTAGTCACTGAAGCATCAAGAGTATACTTAGAACACATGTGGCTTGGTCAGAGCGTTCTTATGTGCTTGTTACTTGTTTGACAGTTAAGACTGTGTTCTTATTCGGTGGTGTGTTGGGATTCACTAATGCCGTAAGTATTTCAGTGACTACTGTGTGCCAGGCGCTGAAGCCATTGTAGTAAACTTGGTTGGTAAAAATCCCTGCCTCGGTGGAAACGGATGAACTCCAGGGAAGGGAGCCGGGGTTTGTTTTGGGTGGAAGTGCAATTTAGGATTAGGCAGTCTAGGAAAACCTCCTTGAGAAGGTCACATTTGTGTAGAGGCTTGAGCGAAGTGAATGGAGAAGAGCTAGTGCAGAAGCTGGTGTGTTGTCCAGAGGGAAAGAATGGGATGTGAGGTCCGAGGGGCTCTGCAGACCAGATCTCATACTGCTTTTACTCCACACAGGCCCCTTGGTTTGTAACCTTAGTGAGATGAAAAGCCATTAGGTATGGAATTGAGAAGGGACATAATCTGATGGACATTTTATTTATTTATTTATTTATTTTTAAAGATTTATTTTTATTTATTTGACAGAGACAGAGATAGCGAGAGAGGGAACACAAGCCGGGGGAGTGGGGGAGGGAGAAGCAGGCTTCCCGCCGAGCAGGGAGCCCGATGTGGGGCTCGATCCCAGGACCCTGGGATCATGACCTGAGCTGAAGGCAGACGCTTAACCGACTGAGCCACCCAGGTGCCCCGTGATGGACATTTTAAAAGATCGTTATGGCTGCTGGATTGGGAATAGACTGTAGTGGGGCAAGAGATCACACCAGGGAGACCGGTTGGCTGCCAGACAAGAGATGGTGGTGGCTTGCACTTGAGAGAGGTGGTAAGGGTGATGCAAAGTGATGAGCTTTTAGGTGATGTTTTGACAGTGGAGTGAATGGGGGTGGGCGGGGACAGAAGAAACCAGAAGGTCAATTTTAGCTGAGGAAGAAGGAGAAAACAAGGGGCATCTGCTGAGATGAAGATGCCTCAGAAGGGGTGTGTTTCTGCCGGGGACTCTGGTGGCTGCATCTGTGTGATGGACTAAGTGGGGTTCCAGTTAGCAAGTCCCCCTCCCCGCTGGGGGTTTGGTGGATTCAGTCATCTTTGTAGCCTGTTTTATTAGTAACGGTTTCAGACCAGGTATGGTGTGGGTAGAATCAGAATCACCACATCTTTCAGTACATAAATGCAGAAGTATGCATGTATTGTGTTACTAATAACTTCCTAAAACTTTCTTTTTGGAGAAAAAAGTATTCTTTTCAAAGATTTTATTTATTTGACAGAGAGAGAGAGAGAGAAGGAACACGAGCAGGGGGAGTGAGAGAGGGAGAAGCAGGCTTCCCGCTGAGCAGGGAGTGCGATGCGGGGCTCGATCCCAGGACCCTGGGATCATGACCTGAGCCAAAGGCAGATGCTTAACGACTGAGCCACCTGGGCGCCCCGAAAAAATTATTTTAAATACCTCTCAGAATTGTTTTGAGGATACAAGTTATGGAGAATATGTGAAAAGAGGTCAGACTGTCTGGCACATAGTAGTTGCTCACCAAAAACTAGTTTCTTACTCACCTTTCATTAATGAACTGATTCATTTTGTAGCAAAGAGTAAAACTATCAATGAGGAAACATGCATCCTGTTTGAACTTGGACAACAAGACGTGCTGGGAGTAGCCAAGTCTTTGTTGTTGTTGATGCTGCTGTTGTTGGTGTTCTCTCTTGTTTAGTTGACCTAGCTTGCTCTTTGAGTTGTCTTGTAATTCTGCACCCTGTCATGGGGTTGCACTCCTAAAACATATACTGGTTAATACAATTCCTGCGCTAACTTGCCCCCCGAGTAGCCGGAGTTCCTCTAAATGTACCGTAGTAGAATGCTTGACCTGCGCTTGGTTGCAGTCCTCCTGCCAGGTGCCAGCTGCCATGACCGAGCAGTTTTCTACCCCCTCCCTTCCACGCTCTGGCCAGGCTTTCCTGGAACGCCCCGCCCCCCGCCCCGCTGCACAGCTTTCCACACTCACTTGCTAAAGCTACGATTGACCCAAGCAGGCTCCCTTCATTGATCTCAAATCCTGCCTTTGACTTTATCAGGCCAGTTTCAGAATCAGAGTGTGAATGCTCTGTCTCTACTTCAGGGAGGATGAAGAAGGAATTAATTAGAAACACTGGGTTAGTCACTTGGTATAGTATCTTTACCAAAGATGGTCAAAGGAAAAAGAGGGTGATTTTATTCAGGGAGTGATGTATTCAGAATTTCGTCAGCCATACCACATGCAGACCTATTTGGATTCTACTCTGGGTTTCTTGAACCAGATGTTGGGACATCACAAAGCAAACCAGGCCAATATCTGGACCTCCAGGCTATTAGGCACAGCTTCAAGGGTTGGCACGTCCCGGCTGCTCATGTCTTCCCCCGATAACTGTGCTCTCTGCCGGTTACACTTTCTGTAAAAAGTAAAGGGTGAAGGACTCGGGAAATGCAGTGTAAGTTACCCTCAGAAGTACAGTTGCTTGTGTTAGAATTTTATAGACTGTTCCTATCTGTCATTTGGTATATAGCACTGGCTGTTACTTGTCCTCTGCCGAGTCATTTGTATGTCTTCGTTTCTAATTATTAATACATTTCCCCAATACTGTGTGTCACTTATGAACTAATAAAAAAGACCATGAATTGGTGAGCAGTTCATGTTTGTGTTCTTGTTTAAGTACTGTGAGTTGGTTGTCGGTCTTGAGGGCAGGGGCTACGTTTTAAGGGGCAGAAGATTTGGGGTCTTCTTAGGAGCAGGGTAGTACTGGCTCGGAGTCACATTTAGTGCTTACGGACAGTGTTTTTCCTAGAGTGGACAGGCATTGCAAGAAGTTAAAGTGAAATGCTGTATTTAAACCTGCCCTTCCCGGTGGCTCATTAGTAACCCCTGAGGATTGCAGTTTTACCCTTCAAGCTGGGCATTTACAAATTATATTTTATCTGAGCCATTCCTTCTACCTTCCCTTCATAAACATTAATAATTGGAGATCATTGTTAAAATGACTTAAATGGAGTAACTAACATCTTACCTGTTTTCTGGTGGTATCAGTAACGAGACAAATAAAAATACAGACGGGCAACAAAGGGACAGGTAACCTGACCTCTGATTGAGTGAAGTGGGCGTTTGAATTATTTGGGTGGATTTTACAACTTAACTGTTAACTTACTTTTGTTCTTGCTGTTGTTACACATTGAGAGTAAAACTAAATGTGATTTTTCCATTTAAATGCTGATAAAAATGTCCAAAACTTTTCTGTTAAATAGTTTTTTACATTTTTATGCATATAGGTTACAACCTGCCATATTCATTCATCCAGTGATGATGAAATTGACTTTAAAGAAACGGGTTTCTCACAGGATTCTTCTTTGCAGCAAGTGAGTCATGCCTAAAGCTTTGCTTTTTGTTTTTATTTTAAATGCTTCGTCTCGTTGCCATCTCTGGGTTCACTTCAGAGGCAGGTTACACACAGGATGTGATTTGGGGCTCCTTACTAGTTAGGCAGAGCGTTCACAATAGGAACTGTTGGGTATATGAGAGGAGCATTTGTACTGATTGTATTTCCAGGAAATGTTTCGTACCTGATAACAACAATGCTGGGTCGGGTAAACTTCCAGATTTGAAAGAACGGAATGGTTTTGCAAGTGTCTCAGACATGCTCGTTATGCAGACCTGTGCAGTAGTTGTTTCCGCTTAAAGATTCCTATAGTTGAGACCTGTGGGTAAGAATAATGGGAATAACACTTTTAATGTCAGTAAAAGTAACTTTCAAAAAAATCTCTGAACTAGATGGCTTACATGTTCCTAATATCTTTAAGGTCTTTTATAGTGACTCCTAAATGAAGTTTCACTTGAAGTAATTCATTGCCACCCTACCCTCCTACCCCACATTCATCTCCATTTATTAGCTGCTTATACTTTTTGTGGGGGAGAAAACGATACAAAAATACATGCACTGATTTATCCATCACTCACTCATTGGTGGTTCTTGGGGAGGCGACCGATGATTTCGCAATCTTGACTGGGTGTTGGATTTGGGCTTCTCGTTCAGTTTACCAGCTCTTCATGTGGAGAAATCATCCTCAGTTGGGACCAGATCTTGGCATGTCAGCTTCTCTGGTGCGGCGGTATGGCTGATGTCCCCTTCCCACCCGGCACTGACTGTTGGCTTGGCTTCTTTTTTCTCAGTCTTTAAGGCTCATCTCTTACCAGGGCCAGGGTGAAGCTTCTGATGACTCTGCTGACCCTGTCTTTTTGGCATCTGGTAAAGGTTGAGCTAAGCAGCTGCTTGGTTTTGATACTAAGTCAGTTTAACATTCATGTTCTCAGGACGGGTCTGCAGTGGTTCTTTCACTTCACTGGCTTCTCCATTGGTTCTTGACGCCGCTGCCCTTCGGGAGCTCAGCTCCCGGGATGAGGGGCGGGGAGCAACGAGCCCAGAGAGGGAGATGTGGAGCAGCATGGCCTTCTTCCTTGCTGCCGTCCTCTTGCCTCGGCTTGCTCTTGGGCAGCACTGGCCGCCCGGGTTGCCCGCCTGGCTCATTGTGGTCCTCGGGCCTACAGGCACTTCTTTCTTGGCCCAGGAAGCACTTCGACCCTAGCCTTTCTGCCCCACTGAAGCACCTGGAGAGTATTGAAATAGTCTGCTGGGCCTGGCATGAACGCCAGCGCTGCACACTGCTCCACCCTGGAGGTGAAGCTCGGGGCTATAAAATGTAAGTTATCAAGGTGATTCTGAACCTGTTGAAATTGCTTTAAGAAAAGAATGCCCTAACACCTGTTTGTAAATAAGCCAATAACTTTGGAACTTTGGGTGGCTGATTTAGTCTAGGAGTGGGAATGTTTAGTTACCTGGAAGGTGGGGTTCCCTTCTCGTGCAGTCTGATTCCATGGCTGTTGTGGGGAGACATTTTTCTGGCGTTTTTTGGGGGTTGACCGACTGCCGACGTGCACGTGTGGCTGTCCCCATCACAGAAGTGTCACACTGGCAGAGCCCTCAGCAGCCTGCTGTCCTGTGGCGGTCATCCGCTTTGTGGAGCCCTCCGAAGTAGGAGAACTCAGTCCTTGCTGCTGGACAGGCCTCTAGTAAAGCTATAAATCAGTCATGGATCATTTTGCAAATAAGAAATACGTTTCCAAACGTGTTCCACTTTTTTTTTTTAATTTGAAAAGACAAGTTTAAGAATTTTATGGTGGTCTCCATTATAATTAGAATATTAGTTTATATATATATCCATTACAGTTTCTCATTCACATTTGAAGTTAGGTCTCATATTGGTAAAGTCCTGAGTGTAGAGACTTAGGACAGGTCATTTAACAAGGTTGCCTGATCATGTCACCATGTTTGACATGGGGCCGTGGGCCGTATTTGGCTCAGGGAATGCCTCACAGCTTTTGTGCCCCTTGACCCGTTTGGTTTTGTCTTCTGTCCCTTCTGGTTTCCTCACCTCTAGTGTTTGACTCTTTCCTTCTGATTCTGTCTGAAAGAGGTGTGGAGGGTGAGGAGGTCTTCCTCTTGCCGGATCTGGAGAATTAGGGCTGACTGCTGCAGACGGGCTCCAGAGGCCTGATTGGCTGCCTCCCACTCCCCCATCCAAGCAGGCTTGTTCACAGGCAGTCACATGAGATGCGGCACCTCCAAAGAGATTTGCTTATAAAGCGGTAGGCTCTCACTTGTCAGTGACTTGAACAGTCCCTGGCTTTGGCCAGGCTGATGGTTCTAGGAAGTGTGGGTTTGGGGGTTTTTTCTTAATAATGAAATTTTTAATATTACACAGCCATATGGTGCTTTCCAGACTTGGATTTCTCCATGTCTAGAGTACTTTTTCTATAGCTTTAAATATAATACAGTAACGGTCTTCACGGATGTGGCTTTTGGAAGCTCTGATAGCTTTATTAGTAAAAATTGTATTTGAAACCTGAAGTTCTTTGCTAGCTTGTATCTTCCTAGAAGCTGTAGTAGACTTAGAACAAATGAGGACTACAGTTTGTTGTTTTTCTTTTTCCTCTGAGTTACTGCATGGAAGTTACTTGGGTCTGTCAGTGGCTTTATCTCCCTAGGTAGATGAATGAATAGAGAGAGAGACAGACAATGTAAGTATGTGTATTCACATGTATACATTTATAATGTATTTATTTATTATTTATTTATTTATTTTTAAATGATTTTTTTTTTTTTAAGATTTTATTTATTTATTTGACAGAGACAGAGACAGCGAGAGCAGGAACACAAGCAGGGGGAGTGGGAGAGGGAGAAGCAGGCCTCCCGCCGAGCAGGGAGCCCGATGTGGGACTCAATCCCAGGACCCTGGGATCATGACCTGAGCCGAAGGCAGTCGCTTAACCAACTAAGCCACCCAGGCACCCTATAATGTATTTAGTGTTTGCATGCTCTTCATGAAGCATTTAAAGAAACACTTTTGGGAACATTTCTTTCCTTTTGTACCCAAAAAGATTCATAATACAAATACCAGTGTCACAAAAAAAGTAAAAGGGAAAAAAAGGATCAAACGAAACAACTGGGGAGGGACATTTTCCCTTGTGTGACCAAGTTTCTAATCTGTAAATAAACTGAGAGCCTGGCTTATGCCGCTTGCTCAGAAGAATGATTTCATGATTCTTAACCATGAAGGTGGTTTTACCATTTTACCTTATAAAAGATAAAGATGCAATTCAGAGGAATTGGCTTCTTTCTTGTTGGTTTTTATGAATATGAGTACTGCATACCATATTTTTCATTCATATATCCAAGACTCAGCCCTGCCTGGCAGAACTTGTCCCTGCCTTTCTCCGTCCACCAGTTCTCCCCTGGCTCGGCCTTGGCGTGCCTTACCAAGTGCGCTCCTGTGAGGCTGGCCCCCCGGCCCCCATGTTCAGACAGTATCCCCTCTGTGGGCAGGAAAGGGGATGGCATGGAAGTGTGCGAGTGAGCAGAGGGGCGGTGGGGCTCTCGAGTTAGAAAAAAGTGAGGTTTTAGGTTCTGAGTAAACTAGATACCACTTTTTTCAGACCTAAGGAAGAGATGCCTTCCAAAGCCAAATATAAGGTTTATTTTTTAATCATCTTCAATTTGGATTATCCATGCCATAATTCCCTGCCACCAGAATGAGTAAACAGGAATTAATGGTAGAGGCATTTTTGCAGCAGATGTCTGCAGGGTGGGATCTGTGGGCTGTGCTCAAAAGGAGAACCAAGGAGGATTCGGTTTCACTCCGTTGTAGCTGCCTCCATCCCAGCAAGTGGCCTCAGGTTGATGTCTTTAGTTCAGCCACCAGCTACTGCTCATGCCCCTGGTATGGGGCTCACCTGGAGGAAAAAGCTTTCTCATCTGTCCAGAGCTCTGTCCACAAGACAGCATGCATATTGTTATTTATTTGCCTCCGTATTTATTGTTTGGGGTAGAATGAGGAGTGGCACTTGCTTATCTTCATTGTCCTTCACTCCTGACTGATAATGTACAGCACATTCGCGCATCTCTCTTGCTCCACTGGGCCTGCTTGTTTTAAATCAGAAGATCAACATTTTTGTGAAGTCCATTTTAACATTCCCCCATTTCTCACCTAAGAAAACCCAAATGAGCCTGATGCTTTCTAGAAATGGCGTAGGAGACAGAACAGGTTCCTCTATGGATCTTACAGTTGTAGGCTTCTCAGAGTGATGTCAGATCAGTGTTAACACTTTGTCCTCTCTCTCTAAGGTAGGTAGGGTAGAAATTACTTTCATACTCTTCCCAGCCTCTGAGACAGAAGTCTTTTTTTTAAGAAAATGAAGTGTTTCTGAACTTTGTGTTGTAGGATTATGATTGTGATTCTTAGTTGTTTGACCTCTGGTGCGATGTTACTGTAGTGGATTGGGGGTGGGACATACAGAGGGAGGTCGGGTGGTCACCACTTACTGGATCTTAGGTTAAGGTTGGTTGTGTCCAGAGGTGATTGATACATCTTATAATTTCAGACTGTCATGTGTCACTTGATCACCTCTTCCAACAAGACTTAACCCAGACCTCTCTCTAAAGATAATTCTCAATAGAGGACAGAGTGGTCACTTAACATTGCTTACAGTGACATGTGCATTAGAATGACTTGTGGGCCAAATTCCAAACATTTCCCTTTTTGGGTAAATTGTGTCTGAAATTATTTGATTTTTTTTTTTTTTTCTTAGAAAAACACACCAACTTTTTAAGCCCTAAGGCTGTAATAAATAAGATGGTTTCTGGAACACAAATGGGCAAATAGTATGTAGAATGTCATTAGAATCATTATATCACTGTCACTGGTCCTGGGGTTGCCAGGCCTTTTCTGATTATCAGATGCAACAAATGACGTCCAATTTTATTGACCAGTTTGGCTTCAACGATGAGAAGTTTGCAGATCAAGATGACATTGGCAAGTGAGTATATTTTCATGTTTCCCTCTCTCATGCACTCCTGCTTCTCGTGAGATATGTGATTCTCCTGGGCTCTGGGCACTCTTCCACATTCGTGTGTTAAGAGGAGCCTGTCCTCCCAGGTGTCCCTATAGCTCTGGCCTGTCGGGCACTGAAGCAGCCAGAGGACAGGAAGGGATGAGAGCATCACTCCCGCACAGAGGGGCTGCCGCTGGGCGTGGCCTCTCACAGAAGCTTGTTCATACTTAGACTGAGCTTCTCCCAGGAACTGGAATCGCTGCTCTGCCCCTTTCCATTGTCGTGCTGGTTAGCGTGACGCAGAGTAGCGAGTCCGTGCTGTAGTTGGTGGTTCCCTCCCATCAGCAGCTGGGATCCTGTTGTGGCAGGAGCAGCTCCCCATGTGGCTTCTCTGGTTGACCCACCGTAAGGGAGGGTTGGGTGTTGGGAAGGCAGTCAGGCCACTCGTTCTGCAGGCGGGGGAAGAGGAGCGGCGAGATGGGGATGATTGGTACTGTACCAAATTAATGAATGAAAAACGTGTGGGTGGTCCACAGCAATGAAAACAAATGGCCTAGCATCTGGCCTCAGGAAAGGAGAGGTATTTATGCATAAAGTATTTACGAGGGGGTATTCTAGCTCACTGAGGACAGACTTGAATATCAGATGGCTTCTCTCACGGGGCAGTGCCCGATGGTGCTCGTCAGCACCCGGTGCGTGTGTGGCTCCTTGCTCACAGTTGAGCGCCAGCCGGCGGTGCTGTCTCCTGTCACCAGGGGCAGTTTCTAGCACGTGAGAAGCCCTGATTGTACTGTGCGACTTGCTGTGTGAGCGCAGTGGATGGAGGCTTCACTGTAAGCAGAGTAAGGGTTAAAGGCTGTTGGCTGCCCTAAGAATCAGCTCGTTTAGATCCAAAAAGAACAAGGACTGTCCGCGTGGTGTTTATGTCTGTGCGCCAGAGGCACTCACACCAGAGCCTGCAGGCTCCCCTATCTCCACGCTCAGTAAATGTTACTAGTTAGGAATCTGTCTCTTTAAAATTTATATTGGGTGCTTGGAATAATGATTGATTAGAACAGATCTTGTAAAAATTATACTTACAAAGTTAGCGTTCATGGGCTAGGAGTTTTTACCCCTCCTTTCTTCCTGATTATGCCATATTACAGGATTTGGGGGAAGTCTATTCTGTGTATAAATTTGGCCATCCCTGGAGAAAGTTCAGTGTCTTGACAGCTCTTGGGTACTTTTTCATGTTTTTGACTTATTTCTTCTTTGCTAATAGCCTATTTCTTGGCCAAGTAAGTATGGCCCAGGGAACCATGGTTGTTACCGTGGATGTTAAAAATCTTTTGTAGGAAGGCTTCAGGGGCGTGTTTATTCTGTCTTAAAGGCCTCCCTGCCTGCCTTTCCACCCTGTATGAGTTCCTTAATACCAAGGAAAGAAGCATCATTTAATGCAAGCAGGTTTTTGCTTTGCTTGTGGAGATTTTAAATGATAGTGTGAATATTTTAAATTTGAAATGTTTTGTGAATAGTTTCTGTTAGTCTATAGGTAATTAACTGTTCCTATACTTATATTTTGTTTACAGTGTTTCTTTTGATCGGGTATCAGACATCAACTTTACTCTGAATACAAATGAAAGTGTAAGTATTAATGCTTCGTCTCATGAGCAACAAGGTATATGAGGGGTGGACCAGGGGGAGCTGGGATCCGTCAGAGTACGCATACAGGTGCCGCATGCGCCGGGACCCTCTCCGAGAGCTCCAGGAAACTTCATCTTAGGCTGGTATTACTTCACCAACTCACATGACCTTCATGCTCCCTGTGGGTGTGAGTTTGCAACCATGGTTTAAGATATGGCAGGGCTGAGAAAACCCGGGTCACTTGTGATTGCAGTGTAGACATGTAGCTTCAAATACTGCAGTTTGGGTCCAGCCAGCCGCCTTTTACTTCAGCTGTATGTCACCAGGAGAGAAACTTGGGCTAGATCAGGGCCAGCTTGTCATCCCCAGGCAGGGCTCAGACACCAGGTCAGCCCCGGTAGCAGGTGATGTGGGATTAGTGTTATTTGAGTGGGCAAGTCTTGATTTTTATGTTAATTAACATGAGAGACCACTGGTTTATTTGCTGATGTGATAAGGTGGAAACTCCTGATTGCACTGTTGACACTCATCACTGTGGAGCCGGACTGGTAAAAGCAGAGGAGATGTAGGTTGCTTTCCTATTAGGGCAGATGTGGGACTGCATCTCAGGTGGTGGGGCAGGGAAGCTCTCGGAAGTAACCCAGTGCTTTACCAGATGAGAGCGAGTCCGTGATGACAGTGTAGACTCCTGTATGGGCCTTTTGAATCCAGTCTTTTGGGGGAGCTTCTTTGAAGTTTTGAATCCATTCTTTTTGGGGGAACTCTGTTACATAAAAGCTGACATTAGATGCTTTTACATCTTATTTTGGTGTATATTAGGCACTGTCTTTAAAAGGAAATGAAGGGGGCATCTGGGTGGCTCAGTCAGTTAAGGATCTGACTTGATTTCAGCTCAGGTCATGATCTTAGGGTTGTGATATCAAGCCCTGCATTGGGCTCCACGCTCTGTGGCGAGTCTGCTTGAGATTCTCTCCCTCTCCCTCTGCCCTTCCCCCCACTTGTGTATGCGCACTCGCTCTCTAAAATAAATCTTCAAAAAAGAAAAAGGAAATGAAAAACACAATTTATATCGGTAACTTTTGGGGGAAATAATTTGATTTTTAAGTTTGTTTTGTTCTTTTTCTCTCACTTGTTTTTATTTAGGGAAATATTGCCTTGTTTGAAGCATGTTGTAAGGAGAGAATACAGCAGTTTGATGATGGTGGCTCTGATGAGGAAGACATCTGGGAGGAAAAGCACATTGCCTTTACACCAGAATCCCAAAGACGATCCAGGTGAGAGAGTGTGTTACAGTAGCAGTAATACCCAGTGCATAAAGTAAATGATGGTTAGGAGACATATACTGTATCCTGTGCAGATGTATATATGTGACCTAGAGACCAGTGCTTCTGTCATGATCAGAAATACCCTTGTTTTGGGGCACCTGGGTAGCGCAGTCAGTTGAGCGCTCAGGTCTTGATCCCGTGGTTGTGAGTTTGAGTCCCACATTGGGCTCTGCACTGGGTGTGGAGCCTACGTAAAGAGAGAGAAAGAAATGCCCTTGTTAGCTGATGTGAGGTGGTACCGTACTCCTGTCTGCAGTGTGACAGGATGTGGATGAGTGAAGGTGATGAACTTGAAAATGCTGGAAGTGTTTAGATAGTTCATAAAGCGGCACGACACAGCCTCTTCTGAATGGGAGGTGTTGCTGAGCAATGTAGTATAAAGTGCTCTGAGTAGATGTTCCCTTACCAGGAACAAATGGCAGCAGCTGAGTTATGTATTGTTTCCTAGGAAAAACTAAAAGTTTCCCCAAGAAAGAGAAAAGTTTTTGTTTTTTTTTTTTAAAGATTATGTTTATTTATTTGACAGAGACACAGCGAGAGAGGGAATACAAGCAGGGGGAGCGGGAGTGGGAGAGGGAGGAGAAGCAGGCTTCCTGCCAAGCAGGGAGCCCGATGCAGGGCTCGATCCCAGGACCCCGGGATCATGACCCAAGCCAAAGGCAGAGGCCTAACGATTGAGCCACCCAGACGCCCAGAGAAAAGTTGTTTCTAAAAGTTAATCTAACTTGGGGAGACAGAGTCCTGTCTCCTTTGGGATCAGTCCAGTTGGTTTTTTAATTTTTTTCCCTCTCTAATTTATTGAAGTTACTGTAGCCCAAGAACCTATATACATTTTTGCTTCAGTACACAGGGAGTTCTTGTTATCTGAGTATCCATTACTAGAACCTTCGTAGTTGAGAGAATAGCAGCTGAACCTTCATTTTTATTTTATTTATTTTTAATAAGTAATGTTTCCACATGGCATACAATTCAGAGAAAACAGAATATACAGTGGAAGTCAAACTCCCTCCCGGCCCCTGTCCCCTGGCCATTTATTCCTCTTGGAGAACAGAGCATGCCGACATCACCTGCCTGTTCTCTGCGTGCCCAGCGGTTATGTCGTGTCTCTTAGGAAGGCTTCTTGCTTTAGGTTACAGAAGACCCAGCTGTGGCTCAAACCAGGGAAAGTGTACTTGTCTCATGATCCACAGCTGTTGAAGGTCATTAAACCTAGCTTTTTTTATGCCCACTTTTCCATCTTCTTTTTTTTTTTTTAAAGATTTTATTTATTTTTTAGAGAGCGAGCGAGAGAGAAACAGCATGAGAGGGGAGAGGGTCAGAGGGAGAAGCAGGCTCCCCGCTGAGCCGGGAGCCCGATGTGGGACTCGATCCCAGGACCCCGGGATCATGACCCGAGCCGAAGGTAGACGCTTAACCATCTGAGCCACCCAGGCGCCCCCCATCTTCTGCACATTGTAATCACAAGGTAGCTGCAGCTCCAGGAGCAGGAAGCAAGAGACAGATACCTTCGTGACGATTTTTTTAAATTTAATTTAATTTTTTTTTTTAAGATAAAGCCCCAGTCAGACTTGTTTGTCACCATTTGCTATGAAATTTTGGTCCTCATGTTGAGTGTATTCACTAAATGGCCATTGCCTACTGCCATCTATGCTCTGGGGGCAGACTGTCCTCACACGTTGTTACAGCATTGCGGTACTGTTTGTAGAGAGTGTAGGGAAGTATGGTGGTGAAGACAGTATCTGAAGGACGTGACAGTTGATCCCCAGAAGGAACACAGGATGATGAGAAAAGGCAACTTTTTATTATTTTTAACAGCTCTGTTGAGGGATAATTGACATATAATAAATTATATAAGTTATACAGTGTGATAAGTTTGGACATATGAATATATCCATGAATACATCCATGAAACCATCATCTCAATCAAGATCATGAACTTACCCATCACCTGCAAAAGTTTCCTCCTGTCCTTTTATATTGCCTTCTCCCATCTGCTTTTTGTTCCTTTAGAATGATTAGTGTTTTCTGAAGTATTATATAAATCAAATTACATATTACCTACTTAATGTTGCTTCTTCCACTTAACATTATTTTTGAGAGTCATTCATGTTGGGTGATGTATCAGTAGTTCATTCTTTTTTTATGGTTGAGTAGTGTTCCGTCGAATGCGTGTACTACTCACCAAGTGGGTGAATTTGTTTATTCATTTGCCTGCTGATGGACATTTGGGTTTCTAGTTTTGGGGTATGATTCACTTGAGAATAGACTCTGTAAGTTATGGATGTATATTGTGGGCCCTAAGGCAACCACTCAGCAACAAAACAAGAAATTATAGTTAATAAGCCAACAAAGGAAATTAAATCATAAAAACTATCTAAAAGAGGGCAAAAAAATAAAAGGCAGCTGGGACACACAGAAAACAGCTAGCAGTATGATAGCATTAAAACTAGGCAGCCCCATCAGGAATCATTGAATACTATTAAATAAGTGATCCCAAAACCCCAGTTAAAGTGAAGAGATTGTCAGATTGGATAAAAAATCAGGTCTCACATATGCTGCCTATGAGAAATAATTGAAATACAAAGACACAAACAGGTTAAAAGAAAAGGTAGAACATCTACCTATTTAATAATAAAGCAGATTTCAGAGGAAAGGGGTAAAGGAAGGGTCATAACAGGGTCAGGTCTTTAGGAAGACATAACACTTTGAAATGCCTATGTACCTAATAACAGAGCTTCAAAATAACGGAGCAAAAGCTGAGAAAACTGCAAAAGAAATAGACAGATCCACAGTTCTGGTCCTGTGCTCCAGCGCTCCTCCTCGGGTGATGGATAACGGGCAGAAATCAGCCAAGACCCAGAACACATGATACTGTCCGCTTTCGTGACGCTGCTGGACATTTGCAAAGCTCCCCACCCAGCAGCAGCAGGGCAGGCACTGTTTCCAAGGGTCACAAGATACTCATGCCAAGAGAGGTCGTATTCGGGCCATAAAGCCAATCTCAGTAAATTCCAGAGGTTTCAAGTCCTACCAAGTATGTTCTCTGACACCAGTGAAATTAAATTAGAACTCAGTAACAGACCCCTAGAAAACCTCCAAATATGTGGAAACTAAGTAACAAGTGAGTTACAGAAGAAATCAAAGGGGGTATTCAAAGGATCATTTTTTTACTGTTTATATTAAGAAAGCAGAAACCTCTCAAACCAGTGACCTTTGCTTCCACCTCAAGAAACCAGAATGAAGGGCAAACAGAACAACAGTGGAGGAAATGGTTGCAGTCAAAAGCTGTTCTTTGAGAAGATCGAGGAAGTTGATGCTCCTCTGGGCAGAATGGTCAGGAGAAAAAGGAATGGCTCGTCCCAGGAATGAGCCAGGTGACATCACTGCTGGTACTAAAAGAATAAAAAGGGAATATTGTAAACAACTCTGTGCCAATAAACCTAACAACTTAGACAGTCTTTGAAAGACACAGGCTACCAAAACTCAAAACAAAAAGAAAAAAACCCCAAATAGTCCTTTACCTACCAAAGAAGTTGAATTTTTAGTTTAAAACTTCCCACATACACACAAAAACTCCAGGCCCAGATGGTTTCTCTGGTGAATTCTACCAAACATTTCAGGAATTAGACCAGCTTTATAAAAGCTTCTAGAAAATGGAAAAGGAGGGAATGGTGCCCATGTCATTCTGTGAGGCCACATCAGTGTGACCTGATAACCAAAGCTGACATGACAAGAAAAATGACTCAGTTATTCTCATAACGTGGATGCAGAAACTCTCATAATGTGGTTTTAGTAAATAAATGCAACAATAATACATCATGACCAAGGAGGGTTTATTTCAGAAATATGAGTTGGTTTAACATTTGAAAATCAATCAATAAGCATGTGGCTGAATCCAGCATCTATACCTGATAAGAATTCTTAGCAAACTGGAGACAGAAGAGAATTTCTTTAACGTGATTAAAGCTTCTACAATAAATCTACAGCTGGCAGCACAGTAAAAACGGAATGATTTCCCCCAAAGATGGGGAACAAGACAAAAGATGTTTGCTCTTACCACAGCTTTTCAGGATTGTTGCTGGGGCTTCTCACCAGTACAATAAGTCAAGAAAAAGAAAAGCCATCTAGATTGGAAAGGAAAGGGTAAAAATTATCTTTCTTCACAGACAGCAGTTCTTGTCCATGTAGAAAATTTGTTGTTGAAATCTACGAAAAGATTATTAGAACAATTAAGTAGGTTTGGCATGATTGCACGGTGCTAGGTCTATATAATTGTAGTTCTATACAATTCCAACAAACAGAATTGAAGTTACTAAATAATCCTATTCATAGTAGCAACAAAATATTAAATACGTAAGGATAAATCTGGCAAGATGTGTTAAGACTTGGACACTGAAAATTACAAGGCAGCTGAGAGAAATAAGAATTGATGAATGTTTATGATTTGGAACTCAATATTGTTAACATGCCCATTCTCCCCAGATCTAGAATCAGTGTAATCTCAAGTAAAATGATAATAGGTTTTTTAGTAACTGTCGACAAGCTAGTACTTAAATTCAAATGAAAATGCAAAGGAGCAAGAAGAGCCAAAACAGCTTTCATAAAGAATGGAATTAGAAGACTCCCGACAGTACCTGATTTCAAAATATAGTAATTGAGATCTAGTGTGATCAGTAAGACAGAATAGTTCTGGGGACTGAAAAGAGTATAAATTAAGTAGGCTTAGAGGCAGCTGACTTCTGATGCAGGTGCAAAAGCAGTTCCGTGGAGAAAGGATAGTCTTTTGAACAGATAGTTCTGGAACAGGTGAACATCTGTATGCAAAATGCTCAGTCCATACCTTTTACCATATATACACATGGATTCCAAATTCCATATATACATGGATTCCAAATGGATCTTAAACCTAAATGTGAAGCATCAGACTATAAAACTTACAGTAGAAAATCCTTGTGACCTTGGGTTAGGGAAAGATTTCTGAAATAGGATGCCAAAAACACTGCATGAAAGGAAATTTTCATAAGCTCAACCTTGTCAAAGTTAAGCACTTCTACTCGGCTAGTGACACTAGTAAGAAGGAAGGGACGGTGCATAGACTTGGGGAGGACATTTGCAATCACGCGCCTGACACAAGGCTTCTCTGGAGGGTGCAGAAAGGACTCCCAGGGCTCTGTAAGAATTAAAGACAGTAACCTGTTTCTTAAACTGTACTACAGATGTGAGAAGACCCTTCAGAAAAGATGTGTGGGTGGGAGATGGGCACATGAGAAGCAGCTCAGCATCTTGGCCATGAGGGAAGTGCATGTGAGCGCCACAATGAGATACCTCTAGGCCCTCTTAGAAGGCGGCTTGTAGATGTGCCCCAAATGTTCGCGCAAAGCCAGGGGCCAGCGGGAACAGCTGAGAGCAGTTAGGCGGCACACTCACGAAGGCGGGAATGAATCGGTTGACGTGCATATGACTTTTTCTTACTGGATGACCTTCAGAATGTTCTGGATTTAGGTGATGACTGACAGGCAGCATTAACTATTTCGGTCTCCTCCCACCCCCCACCCCCCAGCTCGGGGAGTACAGACAGTGAAGAAAGTACAGACTCTGAAGAAGAAGACGGAGCGAAACAAGACTTGTTTGAACCCAGTAGTGCCAGCACAGAGGATAAAATGGAGGTAGACTTGAATGAACGTAAGTCATCTTCTTTTCATCTGTATTAGTCACTGTGTGTTGGAAATGTGTTTTAAAACGAGGCATTCTAGGGGCACCTGGGTGGCTCAGTCGTTAAGCGTCTGCCTTCGGCTCAGGTCATGACCCAGGGTCCTGGGATCGAGTCCCGCATCGGGCTCCCTGCTCCTCGGGAAGCCTCCTCCCTCTCCCACTCCCCCTGCTTGTGTTCCCTCTCTCGCTGTGTCTCTGTCAAATAATAAATAAAATCTTAAAAAAACCAAAACAAAAACGAGGCACTCTGATCTGCAGGATGGGAGTTAGGCTGAAACACAGTCTTCTGAGTCCCCTTGGAGGTGTGTCAGGATGGGGCCTGAAGGAAAGAGCAAGTTGTCCCTCTGATGATGGGGTGTGTCTAACAATGTGGACACCCCCCCCCCCCATGTGGGTCTGGCTAGAGGTGCAGCACGCTGTGGTGGGATGGGGTTGGGGGGTGGTCCTAGGCTCTGGCTGCAGAGCCTGGGTGCCTGGCAGCAGGGGAGAGACCAGAGATGATGGAAGACAAGGAAAGGCTATGTTTGTGGAATCGGGAATGCACTAAACCAGAGGCAACCTCCTCAAGCTGAAACTATTTGAAATGGGTTCTTCAGAGTTGATTGAGGAAGCCTATAACCCTAGAACGTGTGTGGCCTCAGTGCTTGTTTGTGTCCTGCTACTTGCTAAGAAGACTTGCATTCGCTGGCCTTTAAAAAATACCTGTTAACCTCTAAAAATTCAAATACATTTTTCTGTGGGTTGATATTGGGGCTTTCTTCTGGGCCGAGAGTGTGTCATGTTCCCCAGGAAGGCCTTCATATACTCCTGGAGGCTGAAAGCCAGCTCGGGGTGCCGGGTGGGCCTTACCACCCCAGAGCTGGCCGGGACCTTAGCAGTAACCCAGTACAGCCCCACGGGACAGAGCCGGAAAGTGAGAGCCCTGGAGGAAAAGAGGTTTGGCCTCTCTCCTCTCATTGCTTCCCCAGCTCACCATCTTCAGGAGGAAGAAATGGGCTTTTCTCTCCGTAATTCAGTTCTAGTCTACATGGCTTTGTCAAGTTCCGGCTGCGTACCAGGTGTGGGTACACAGACTCTGTATCCAGGGGTCTAGAGTCTCTTGAGGAAACAGAGATTGTGGTAGATTCTGGGGCGCTCTCCTGGGAAGATCATTTCTGTGTAGCCTAGCGTGGTGTGCAGTGAGAGCACATGAACAGAGACCTGAGTTCACCTGAAGAGACACATCTCTGAGGAGGTGACGTTTAAACAGACCTGCAGGTTAGATCCAACCTCGGCTGGCAGCCAGCGCGGTGAGGCTGTTTTAAAGGATAGACGTGAGCAGCCAGATGAAGGGAGAAATAGAGACATGGGCGGGCAGGGTCCCAAGCATAGGATCTTACCTTCTGTTCCCATGGAGCTTGGGATGTACCTGCTGTTCACCAGCCCAGAAGCTCTGAACCCCTGAAGTTTGAGTTTTTTATGGAATCTTCATTAAGTAGACATGTTTGATTAGATCATTGGCCATTTGTGATTTCCTTTACTTTCTGCCCCTCTTCCCTCCTAGGAGGGTGGGCTATGGGGTTGGGCTGAAAGTTTCAGGCCTCTAACCACTGGCTGGTTCCCCTGGCAACCAGCCCCATCCTGAGGCCACCAGTCATTCTTTAGCATACAAAAAGACACTACTTCAGGGATTCCAAGGGTTTGGGGGTGGTAGTGGACCCCAACTATGTATTTCTTATGTCACCAGAAGCCTTCCTGTTTGTGCTAATTACACTGGACTGCAGGGAGGCCATTAAAGTATGAACTGGGGCCATGTCTGGATTGGGAAGCATTTAAAGTTTCCAATTTATTGCAGTTGAATATCCAACATTCTGCTTTTTTTTTTTTTTCCTAAACTATTTTGGAATAACTTTGGATTTACAGAAAAGTTGCAGAGATTGTACAGGGAGTGGCTCTGCACCCCTCCTTCACCCCCCTTCCTCCCCGTGTTAATAGACTCTCGGTACATTTGTCAGAAGTAAGAAATTAGCATATTCTTTTATATGTAGCTTTGCATTCTCTTGTGATATTTCTATTGGAGAAAAAAAATCTTAGAAATGGGAGTTAAGGGATTAAGGGAACCTACAGTTTTTGTAACAGGATAGATGTTATCACATTGTCCTCCAAGTTATTGTGCTGTTTGTGCTCCTACCAGTGGTGTGATAGAGTGCCCTGTCCCCACCACTCTGGCCTTTATCATTGTGAATCTGTTTCTGAAAAATATCTTGAAGTCCACTGAACTTTTGAAGTACTCTCAAAAGGAGATGTCTCTCCTCTTTTTAGCACCCAACTGGTCAGCCAACTTTGATGTCCCCATGGAGACAACCCATGGTGCTCCCTTAGATTCTGTGGGGTCTGATGTCTGGAGCACAGAGGAGCCAATGCCAACTAAGGAGACAGGCTGGGCCTCTTTCTCAGAGTTCACGTCTTCCCTGAGGTGAGTGCACGTGTGCCAGCTCCCTCAGCCTTTCTGTAGGAGAACTGGGGATGGCGTGTCACCTTGATTTACTCCCTTCCTGAAGGTGGTGCCCTACACAAGATCACAAATCAGCATGGGGGAAATAGTGACCCAGCTACGAATTACAAGGAAACCAGTCTCCGTCCTCCTTCCTTTTATCCAGGATGAGCTGGGAAAGGCAGTAGGCTGTGCACAAAGTAGACCGGGACAGTGTGGCCCCAGGAGGTGACGTAGCAGGGTGCCAGCTCCTGGGGCTTCTCTAGCCCCACCGAGCTATCAGAAAACAGGGTTGAGGAGAATAGGAACGAGGTGGAACCAAGAACTCCTGACAGACACCTCTCTGTGGAGCATTACAGAAGATGCAGAATGTATCGTGAATTTAACAGATAATAGGAACTTCTGTTCCCTTGTAGCTAGGCTGGTGCTATAAATTAAGGGGCATGACAGGGATGGCTGTCAGTCTTGTCATTTGTAGTATTCTTGATGACAGCAACCTGGCATTTCATAATTTTCCTGAATCATATTGCCAGCATGTGAGTAGTAATCATGGATTTCGTGTCTTACTAGGCTTAGTTTGATTTGCTAAACATTGTTTTCTTTATCTCCACCACCCCATTTGAAAGACTTTGTTGCTTTCCCTGCTCTGACAAGTAATGTTTTTAACTAATCACTGGTAATAGGCAAGCCAGGAGCACAGACTGTTAGGAGCTCGTGGTTACCGTCTTCAACAAACCAGAGAACTGGCTAAAACCCACGTGGCTTTACGGCAGCTCTAAGGATAGCAGGAAGCTATAGTTCAGGGGCAAAAGTGAGATTTGTGGGAAATGTCTCCAAAGTATTGTGAATTATTTCACGGACTCAATTCCAGCACCGGGTGGTCGAGTTCCCACCTCTTGCTTTCTTCCGTCTTTTGTAACTAGGGCTTACGAGCCCTTGGTTACTGGGACTGTTGTTGAAGCAACTCACTTCCCTTTACCCCTTGTGCACAGCTCACGTTTTCTCGTTAAGTGTCATTGAGGCCCGCAGGCAGTTTGGCTTAGTGTAAGCAGGGATTTTCCTAAGATTGGCACCGCGGTGTGCTGTCAGCCCCTGCTGTCCCAGCCCTGGGCGCCTGGTGACAAGGGCGAGGATGAGAGGCTGGTGCATTTTGAACCTTTCTGCAAACCTCTACGAAACCTGCATGCCCCCGTGCTGCTGACTTAGCGGGCTCTTTGCCTACACATGCTCACCTGCGCTGCAAGCAGCATTCTGCACCTAGATCTGTCTGTCTCTGTCCGTGGGCTCTGTGACCGACTGCCCGTGTCACCCCAGTGGGACCAGAGCTGCCTTTCAGAGGGTTTTTGTGAACCATGTAACTGAGGGCTATTTGCCATTGCTAACATCTGAATTTTCTCTTTTCTAAAAGTACAAAAGATTCTTTAAGGAGTAATTCTCCGGTGGAAATGGAAACCAGCACCGAGCCGATGGGTCCTCTGACTCCCAGTGTTGCCACACTGGCCGCACAGCCGGAAGGTAGGTGTGGGGAGCAGGGCACCGGCTGACACAGCCTGCTGGCCGCTTGGCTGAGGTTGCTCAGGCTTGGGCTGTATGCTTAGTTTTCTAGATCTAAACACTTGTTTCTGTCCACGTAACAGTTTATAAAGCCAGTCTTGACTCACCGGCTCAAGGGCTCAAAGGAGTTAGGGAGTTGAGATGGTGGGTCTGAGGTCCGCAGGACAACCGATGAAAAGAAATTATGTATTCATTCCAGAACCAGGCATGGTGATTCTAGAAGGCATAAGGGATCTGTTATCAGTTGTTCAGTCCTGTCAGTGTACAGAAATGGAAACAGGCCCAGAAAAGAAGAATGTCTTAGTCTACAGTGCCCAGTGTGAATAAAATCAGAATTAGGTGTGTGTGTTTTCAAGCCCGTCTGGTACCCAATTCTTTTGTCACTTGGAGTTTGCTTTACTGGAGCGCACATGGGTGTCTCGGCATGTTTCAGGCTGTAAGGCTGTTTATTTTCTTCTCACCTTTATGAACAGTTGAGATGGTCAGGGGTATCCAGTGGGTTGTCAAGTTCAAACTGCACACGTTGTTCCTTGCAGAGACCCTGAGCTCTTTTCAGCCTAATGAATGGGGCTTGGGAGGTGGGAGGAGAGGGAGGTTGGTGAAGGGGGGTGAGGAATCAGTATGTGGAGGGCAGAAAGAAGTAAGTCCTTAGAAAAAGAAAGGGGGACATGGGGGGAGCACAAGAACCAAGGGTAAGAAAGGTAATAAAACCAGTAACTAATGTTGGTTTTATTTGTCATTCTTCTAAACATTTTATATAGATGACCCCATTTTATCTCTCAGTTCTTAAGTGGGTTTAGTTAACTTCATTTTATAGATAAGAAAAATCTTGCCCCAGAGTGATACAGCTAGTAAGTGGTGAGGCTGGGGTTTGAATTCAGGGAGTGTGACTTGAGAGCCCAAGCTTATAACTAGTATAGCATATGGCTACCTATTACAGAACAAAGAAATAACCCACAAGGAACCATAAGAAAGTAACTTAAAGACCCAAGTGGGACCCAACTGAAAGGAAAAGGACAAATGAGAATAGTAGCCTGAATAAACTGTAACATCAGGGGACGCCTGGGTGGCTCAGTCGGTTAAGCATCTGCCTTTGGCTCAGGTCATGATCCCAGGGTCTTGGGATCGAGTCCCGCATCGGGCTCCCTGCTCAGCGGGGAGCCTGCTTCTCCCTCTGCCTGCCACTCTCCCTGCTTGTGCTCTCTCCCTCTCCCTCTCTCTCTCACAAATAAATAAATAAAATCTTAAAAAAAAACCACACACACAAAAAAACTATAACCTCAATACTTGTGGGGTGAAGCGGGCGGAGGCTAGAATATATCCAGCTGCCTCCTGTGCCCTCGGCTGTGGACTGGAACACCCCCGGAATGGTAAGGCTGGCTGGGAGAAGTTGGGGGTGTGGGTAGACACTGAACTGGGAAGGCTGGAGGGGCCCGCTGGTCCTGTGCTGAAAAAAGCCTATGGAATGGCTTTTTTAAGAAGGCTGCCCATCAAGAAATGGCCTAGGCAACAGCCAGCAAACCATCTTTCTTTTTCAAGCAGTAGATGGAACATCAGGTGGATGGGTCCCCACAGAAGGTTGGGGAGACTTCTTGTTGGTTTTGGTATGCGTGACCATCCACTGTGTGTTCTGTTTCAGCACCAGCCAGTGTAGCCATGGAAGCCAGCTCTGACGGAGAGGAGGATGCAGAAAGTACAGACAAGGTAACTGAGACAGTGATGAATGGCGGCATGAAGGAAACTCTCAGCCTCACTGTAGATGCCAAGACAGAAACCGCAGTCTTCAAAAGGTAACCAGGGCCAGATCCTGCTGACAGCTTCAGGTTGTTGGGGGAGGGTGGGGAGCACCTCAAGTGTTAACATCTTTGATTTGATTCAGATGTGGGTTTAGGCATTAGCCTGACATCATCTTAGCGCCTCTGTTCAGCCCCATGAGTCTGAATGAAGAAGGGAGAGTTTGGGGTCCCTGAGTGCCCTTCCCCTCTCTTTCTAGTACTCAGAAGATTGTAGATTAAGTCTAGTGGGTTAAAATACAGGAGAATAAAAAATGGACACATCTGTAGCCGAGTAGAAACTGGCCCATCAAAACCAAAGGGTCAGTGCCCTGCACACAGTCTTCTCCAGACGTAATGCAGTCAGTAGAAATCAGCAGCAGAATGATAGCTTGAACCGTCTGTTTGGAAATTAACCTCACTTCTAAATTCATGGATCAAAAAAGGAATCCTACAGGAAACTAGGAGCACGACCCTGAAAGAACAGCAACAGGCACTCCTGGCGGAGCTGGGGCTGTGGCAGGGTTGGCGCTCGAGGCTGCATCTCCGTACTCGGCAGAGCCCTGCGGAGCAGAAGGGGTACGTCCCACCTCGTGGTGAGGTCCCTGCAAAACACAGCACAAAAGGGGAGCACGGATTCCCCATGGGGGCGCATATGCACGAGACTCCAAAGTTAAAAGCTAGCAAACCGAGTCCAACAGGGTGTTCTTGAGTTAGGATGGAGGATGTGTCCAGTGCAGGTGAGGATAGGGTGACCAGGTAAAGTGTTCTGGGGTGATTCACAGACCTGTAAGGATAAAAACCATTGGGACCTTAGGTAGATGGAGAGGAATATTTGATGAAAATTAAAGCCATTCATGATTTTTTGGCCGTCGAGAAAAAGTAGCTCCTTGAAACTGCTAAAGGTGTGTTCTGAAAATCTATAGCAGACTTGGTTCTTCACAATGAAGCATGCGAAATATTCCCTCCAAGACACGACCCGGACAGTGAGGCGGGCCTGCAGTCACTCTGCTCTTCAGCACTGGGCTGGCAGTCTTAGCCAGTGCTGCATAAATTAAAAAAAAGGTATAAAGATTTGAAAGACTAAAATGGTTCTTGCTTGTTTGTAGATTATTATTTTCTACACAAAAAAATTACGAACAGATCCATGAACAAGTATTCAAATTACCAGGGAAGTTTAGCCATTGCATCCTTTAAACCGATGTGAAATGTGCTAGATGCGCCCCCTTTTAAATTAAAATGTTAAACCTTGTCTGTAAGATTGAAAGTCATAATAAAGACCTAAATAAGTAGAGAGATATGCCATGTTTGTTAATGAGAAGGTATCTTTGGGATTTTTAACAAATTAACGTAGAAAATGAATGTGTTTCTAATCAAAATCCCATTGGAGCTTTTCATGGAGATTAAGAGGCTGATGGTGATATTCATAAAGCAGACCAAAGAACTGGAAATAACCAGGGTCATTTTGAAGAAGGGAGGGAGGGAAGCATTTTGAAGAAGGGAGGGAGGGAAGCATCACCAGGTCAGAGCTCCTAATGGGCATGCTGTGCAGGTAGACCCCACGCTTACAGGAACTTGGTGCATGCTAGAATGGTGTTAAAGTCGGTGAGGAAAGAATGGACTGAGAAGTAGTGATTACCCATGTCACGGAAAAAATAAAATTAAATCTGCCTCAACATAAATACGAAAGGCAAAACTACAACTTTGAGAAGAAAACATGAGAGCATCTCTTTATAATTTGGGGGTTACAGGGTTTTTTAACCATAAAAAAGCCAAACCGTAAAGGAAAAGGTTGATGAATTTTCTTTATTTAATTTCTGGTATTCTAAATGATAAAACGAAAAGACCCACCATTACCTGCAAAGGAAGATTCAGGAGCAGGATGTAGGGAAAAAACCTAATATCAAGAAGAAAAAGACAAGCTAATAGTAAGATTTAAATGGACAAAGGACACACACAAGCCATTATCTGTGGTGGAAAACGGAGCAAACCAGCTCTAGAGCAGGCCAGCTTTACAAGTAAATAGGATGTGCTGGTTGCAGTAATGATTCGATGCTGTTTCATGCACATTCGTCTGCTCATTCCTACCTCAGTTGTTGCAGAACATAGAAAAAGTGCAAAACCTGCTGGATCTTTTTATGAGGCCATGAAATCTTAACGCCAAACCAGATAGGGATGATTACAGAAAACGATCAGCTCATATCACTTAAAAGCAAACTAAATGCAGAAATCCTATAGAAAATATTTGCTAACCGAGCACAATAGCATATCAAAAATAATTCGTAATGGTAAGTTGGGGTTTTCCCCGGACCATCAGGAAAAGTGTCATTTATGATATGTTAACAGAGGGGGAATTCATTTGAGATTTTTGAAGACTCTTTTGATAAAGTTCCATACCCATATATGATTAAAACTGAGCAAAACAGGGGCACCAGGGTGGCTCCGTCAGTTAAGCGTCCCTCCAATTCTTGGTTTCGACTCAGGTCATTATCTCTCTCAAATAAAAATGAAATCTTAAACACACGCAAAGCTGAGCAAAACAGGAACAGAAATGAATTTCCTTAACTTGGCAGAAGTTAAATACCAAAATACTAAAGCAGAACACACTTACGGAGGAAGTTGCAGATGCTGTCACTTTCAGGTGAGGAACAAATAAGGCTGTCCGTTGTCACTGGCACGGTATAGATGATAGTCCTGGACAGTGTTCTGAGGAAAGAAAAACAGTATAGGTAAAGATCAGACAGGCAGTGATAATAACGATCACCTACCACTGCGTCAGTAGCAAACTTCTGCAACTAACAAGAGTTCAGCGAAGCTGCTGGGTAACAGATCCATTTTAAACATCAGTAGCTTTTCTCTGCATCGGTAATAAGCAACTAGGATGTATAATGAAAGGCAAAATACCACTCATAAAGTATATCAAACTTTAAGGTAATTCCTAAACAATTAAACCCACATATCTAGAGAGAAAACCTGAAAGTGCCAATAAAAGCTCACACGGAGGCCGTCTCGGGGGTGGTGCCGTGCCGCGCTGTGCAGAGGGTCGTTGTGAGGAGCAGGGGGAGTTGGGAGGCTCACCCCGTAGGGCACTGTGCCAGCAACACCCGAAACATGGGTCTTCCAGACTGTGGTGAGTTAGAGACAAATACAATGAGGTGTGCAATTCAGAGCCCTTTCTATGCCTCCAAAATGCAGATATGCAATGACTATACACATTTTCTAAGAATGAAAGTAACATGTAGGAAGCACATCAGGAGAGTTGCTTTTGTGGGGAGGGAGTGGAGAATGGGGATAAAGAGGAGTAAGGAACCAGGTGACTTGGGTTGTCAACAAATCTTTAGACTTTAGTTCAATTTCCTCCTTATAAATTGCCTAGACCCATCTGAAAGCCACCCAAGAAATGATCCTAAAGTTAGGTTTTTCGTAAGCAAATCCAGGACAGGACTCCGCTCTGAGAATGATGGCGCTTCCCAGAGGGAATCTCCAGCTGCCCTTTAGCTGATTCTAGTGCTGCCTTGATTGTGTCAGAATGGGAGGTCCAGACAGGATCGCTAACAGTCTACTTTTACAGCCCACAATCAACAATCAAAAGCATTTGCTACTTGTCTTTCTCCGCCAGGAGCCATCAGAGGGGGAGATAACCCTTCCTATATTTTGCTTGCCCCCTTAGGATCCGCTCTCACCTGTTCTGGCCACCGTTCTTGGCTCTGTCTTCCTTCCCAGTGTCTGTATTTCTCATGCACTGTCAGAGAGCTCCGTCCTGGTGCAGGCCCCTGGCACCCTGCCCCTGGGACAGGAGCAGCAAGTTGACGGGGTCTCTCCTGCTGACTGTTGAATGCTGGGCTGGGCCCTGAGAGCAAAATGCCTTAACTGAAGACTCATTCCTTCAAACAGGTTCATTTGACACCTCCACCGAGTCTGCAGTTCTGCTTATGTGCAGTCGTGGACATAGTACCCCCCACATTCCTCATTTATAGGAGTATTCTGAAACTCTTGTACATTTCTTTTTCTGTTTTGCACACTTGGCTTCAGAGTGTTGAAATCCTATCGGTATGTACAGTAATGCGGGCCATTCTTTATCAGACACCAGCTGCATTACATTGTCCCTCCTTTGGTTCCCTCCCGTGTGTGATCCTTGCCTTTCGTGATTTCCCAGTCACCCTCTGTGGTCCCTGTGGCCCCTCCCCTGAGCATGCTTGGCCCCAGGGCTTTACTCCATGGCCGCCATGACTTCCAGGGTCATTTGCATGTGCCTTCATCCTCTGCCGGTGCCGCCACCTGGGATGTCTAATGCTGCCTGTCCTCCTCTTTACTGCAGTGAGGAAGGAAAACTGTCTACCTCTCAAGATGCTGCTTGTAAGGATGTCGAGGAGAGCCCTGAGACAACAGAGGCAAAGTCTGCGGGCCCCCGGCCCCCCAGCAGTAGCCCAGAGCAGAGGTAACTCCCCACTTCCTCAGATCTGCCCAGGCCCTACTCTGGCTGTGGCTCTTGTCTTCGCAGGAGCTGGGAGGGAAGTTGGCATCCGGGGTGGGATGGAGAGCTCCTTACAGATGTCCTCGGGCATTCAGGGACTTCCTCGGCACAGGAGCATTTTCCCAGGCCACGTCTAGGCAGGATGCCTGAGCCGAGAACTCAGAACAGTTTACCTCCTTACCCCAAAATCCAAAAACTGACTGGCTTTTGGAGATTCAGTAACCTCACTGGCTCTTTAAGAAATTACTCAGAATGGAAGGGAAGGCTCTTCGATGCTGGTGTGCCTCCCCCCTACACACTTTTTTTATTTTTGAGGAGGTGCTAAGTTGAGGCTGATGTTGAGCCCCTCTGGGATTGGGGTCCCTAGGCTGTGGTAGCCAAGTTCCCACGGGCTCCACGAGGTCACCAGCCTCCAGCAACACCTGGCACCCCTTTTCCCATAATCGTGCACGTGTGACACACGGGGAGAGCCTTCCTGGAGACCCTTTTATAAATGTAGTTACATATTCTTAACTGTTGGATGATTCCCTGTATGGTTTTGTGTGTGCAAAATATCTGTCTTGATTAAGTGTGAAAATCCCCACTGCCAGAGCGGAGTGATTTGGAATGTGATGTTTTCTTTCTAGTCACCTATTGCTTAGACTGAGCCAGTGGTCTGAAGGGATAGGCCAAGCCAAAGCCTCAGCCGCCGAGGGCCGCCGCCCCGGCCCGTACGCACGGCCTCGCAGGTAGAGCAAGGGCGGCCTCCGATTGCTGCAGAGCACGCGCCAGAAGATGAGGATTTGCCCTTGGACCACAAGGAACTTTGCTCAGCACTTCCCAGAGTTAACTTTTTTGTTATATATATCTAAGTTTGTACATTCCTTCCATAAGGAATAAAGTAACCTTTAAAGCCATTTCAGAGAAGTTGTACTTTCCCCCTTACCAGACCCCCACCCCCAAAATCTGTCACTTTAGAGGTGACAAAACCAGTGGGAACCAGCAGGGGGCGCTCTCTGTTCACCGGTTGGCAGACCTCTTTAGTGGGGCAAACCCTGCTTTTGTTTCTCTCATGGGAATTATAGCCAGCATGAGGGGTTTGCTTCTATGATTAAAAAAAAAAAAGCCTTCTTGGCGTATAAAACAATTATAAGAACTATTTGAGCATGTTGGCTCTAGGGAAGGCTTTGGGAGGAGGAGGCATGGTGACCCTCCAGCGTTGAGGGATCCGGCCCCAGGTATGCTTCGAAGTGTTCTGGGCAAGTCACCTTTTTTGCCTGGGGTTTTCAGTGGATGTTTTTTCAAAGGTATTTTGTAGGATCTTATTCCTAGTCCGTTATGTCATCTCCCTGATTTCTACCTACAGATTTCCTTTATATTGCGAACTGCTTGAAGGCAGGACAGTCCAGGTCTATTCCAATCTGGAGTTGCTTCGGGACTCTCTTTGTTTCTCAGACATAAATGATACAGGAGGCTCTGGGATCATTTCCTTGGCTCTCTGGAGGGCAGAATTCCTTGCTTTAGGGGAACCCACTTGCTCTTCTACCCGCCTAGAGACGTCTGGTGTGAAGAGCCCTGCCTCTCAATCTGCCAGACTGAGGTGGTGGGGGGGGAACACTGGGGAGGGCCAGTGGACAAAGAGGAGGGCATCCCTTGTGTCCACACATTCATCCATCTGTCCTTCATCCAACACATGGAAGTGTGGCAGCCAGTGGTCTAGGCCGGGGTGGGGGAAGCAGTTGCATAAAAGACCCCCAGATGATAGAGGGACGTGTAGAAAGAGGTGCTGCTGAAGAATCGGGACAGCTGCACGGGAGATCAGGAGTCCCATTTAGATGGGGCGGTGGAGGAAGGCCGCTCAGAAGGTGACATTGAGCTGCTGTGATGGCAGGGAGAAGGTAAGTGGTCCAGCGCGTCCCATCTGTGTCCTAAGGGCGAAGTACGGGAGGTAGGGAGAGCCATTGGGACTTGCCAGATGCCCTCTTCCCCACATGGTTCCTGTCACAACCAGGTTATCATGAGCCCTGGGGTTGACAGATGCACACTACTGCCCTGAACTGCCTGCATGGGCACGGAATTTAACGTTTAGCTACTGTGGATCGAGCACGTGCGATACCTGTGCTGACCAGTGTGCCAGGCACTCGGCACCCGTCACGTACGCACCCACCATCAGTGGGGATTGTTGTCCCCCTTTCACGGGGGAGGAGCTGATCTGGAGAGGGGAGAAAGTGTACTTGAGACCCAGCAGCTTGTGAGTGGTGATAGTGGGATCTGTGCCCGGTGTGTCTGCTGCCAGAACCCCGGTCCCCCTGCCTCTCAGACACTGAATGTTACCAGAGTGCTTGCTCGTGGAGCCCGCTTCCTGGCTCTCTGTCAGAGTTGGCGGGTGTCTGAAGCCTTGGGCTCGTGAGTTGCGAGCTGATCCAGAAGCACCCTGTGTGCTTCCCAGTGCCTCTCTAAGCACCCTTTCCCAAGCCGGCTTTGTAAATTCTGGAAACGCCGCCAAGACTCTACTGTCCTGTGTTGAAGCAGGAAGGTCGAATTTGTGTATCTGCCACCATACTGTTCATCTAGCATTCCCTCTTCTCTTCTCTTTCGAGAGGGAAGGGAGGGCACACGTGGGGGTGGAGGGAGAGGGAGAGAGAATCTTTTTTTTTTTTTTTTTTAAAGATTTTATTTATTTGACAGCGAGAGACACAGCGAGAGAGGAAACACAAGCAGGGGGAGTGGGAGAGGGAGAAGCAGGCTTCCCGCCGAGCAGGGAGCCCGATGCGGGGCTCGATCCCAGGACCTGGGATCATGACCTGAGCCGAAGGCAGACGCTTAACAACTGAGCCACCCAGGCGCCCCGGGAAAGAGAATCTTAAGCTGGCTCCTGCCGGGGCTCGATCTCACGACCCTGAGAGCATAACGTGGCCAAAACCAAGAGTCAGAGGCTTAACCGACTGAGCCCCGCCAGCCGCCCCTAGCATTCTCTCTTCTGTGCTCCCAGCTTCAGCCCTAACACTTGCCTGGCGGGAGCACATTGGTTAAAGTGCACACCCGGTTTCAAGAGTTGGTCTTGTTTACAAGCCTTTTTTTTTTTTTTCCCTCTTTCAGTAGAAGAATCCTGCTTTTCAAGTGAAATTTTATGTGGATTCCAATATATGGAACAAATAAAAAGCTGTTTGAAGGAGGAAATGAGCATGTGGCTCGTGACGGGTCTGGGAGCAACAGTAAAAACCACTGCCCTAGTCTCCGCCTGTGCTTCTAAGAAGCTGAGGTGGGATGGTTTCTCGGAGCTCGGCTCTGCTGCAGCCCTTGCTAAATGCCTGTTGGCCACGGCTAAGGTGAAGCTTAGAACCTGTTGGACTTCCTGGAGTTTTCCATAAACGCGTTTGTGGAGCATTCCCTGAAGTCGCTCCTAAGTGTCGGGCTTCGCGTTAGATGTCGCATAACAGTATTAAAATTAACGTCCCCGCCCTCGGGGGGCTAAACCACCTTTGTTTCTGCTTTAAGTGCCTCAGGTGTGTGTCTCTTCCTCCGCAGGACTGACCAGCCAAGCCTGCCAGGTGACACATCTGTCAACGGCCCCGTATGATGAGTGACCCCTGCTTGCTGCTGACTGAGGACCGCAGGCCGCCACCGCTCGGGGCCTCTGGAGACTTCACCTGGAGCCCGCCAGGCCGTCACTGCTGCACTCACTCTGCAAAGGATCAGGACCAGCAACCTTTATATTCTAGATTCTAAGACATTGTACAGAGAAATCCAGAAGTGTAAAAATATTGCACATTGACAAATACCAAGAATTTTTGCGTATGTTTATATTGTATTGTTCTAAATAATGGGTAGCCTGTGAAATAAGATCGTGCCACCCATGTAATAATAGTAGTAATACTATAGTTAAAATGGCTGTAAGAATAGTTTTATAAAAGTGAATACACAGATCTATTGTATTTGAAACATAACTATTTGACAATTATTAGTGTGACCAAAGTATTAGGCAGTTTTCATACATTTTTCACCTTGTACAAAATTCTGAATTCATTTCTCTTCCAGGCTGGCAAGGAGTTGTAGGGTTGAAATGCCCTCTAAGTGTTAATTTTGGTTGTTCTAACTTACAAACGTGATTTTGAATAAGAAATATTTGGTGTTCTTTTTATAACCAGGTTTTGATTGGTAACTGTTTTCTGTATTGTTTTAAACGGATCAAAAAATGTAAGTCTATTGGTAGAGATTAAGTATTTATTGCTACAACTTAGTTGATAAATTGATGTTACTGTAAAGCCATATGTTCTGTTGAAGTCTCGTTTGCTTGAAATGGTTCCTCCTACAGGTGAGACACTAGACTGTTTGGGGTGTACTTGTGGTTTGAGTTACTTTGTTTCTCGTTTTTGTTTTTTTGTTTTGTTTTGTTTTGGTAGTTCCTCTGCCTTTTAACCCATTCACCCAAATTTACCTTGTTAACAAGCATCACCAGTGACCATTTCTGAGCAGTTTGCATATTTAACAAACCTAAACCGTATCAGGCAGGCCCGTGGAAGAGTGCTCGCGCTGCAGGTGGATCAGAGCGCGTTCGTTTTGCAGGCTAGTGTTTCCAGCTAGAAATCAGAACCTGGCACCTACGCATGGGGATTGTTCTCCTGTACCTTGTGAGGTTTCCACGCATAAATTCTAAGCCAGTGTGTTTTTTTTAGAACTGGTTTGTGTATATATATATAGTGATTATGGATACTAATTCAATGTAATTTATAATTTTCTATGTCAATATAAAAGTACATCACAGCCTTCTCAAACAGCTGAAGCAATATATCGTATATTGCCATATCGTCTGGGGAAAGGGTTAAATTTCTTCACCTTGCACTTTTAGATGCAGATCAGGTTTTCATTTCTGTAATAGAAAACTGTTCACGTATTTTTACATCATTTGTTTGTCCTGACCAGTATTTAAAACCAAAAGGATATTCTGAATAATGGCCAACGATTTTTTTAGAACTAGCATCCCAAGCAGCGTGCCTAAACATTACATTGCATATGGAAATAAAAGAATCAAATGTTTAATGCCTTATTTCTCATTTACTTTTCCATTGTAAATGGTGTCGAAATCCTGTGTGGGGCTTCCCGCGGCAGACCCAGCACTCGAGGCCGGTGGAGTCAGCGGCACGCCCTGGGACGGACGGCAGGTGCCCCACTTGGCCTTTGCGCACCTCCTCAGGAACCTTTGTTGTGAGCTCCTCAGAAGAGACTGTCCTCGTGCGTTGTCCTCTGGAACCCAGCGCCGCCAGAGGACAGGGCTCCTTTCACGTGTCTCAAGGATGTGGACTCCGTGACACAGGGCCTTGGGGACCGCTGACGGCTAGCATGCTCTTATCCCGCCGGGTGGAGAGTCTCGCTGGCCACCGCCGGGGCTTGGGTCCAGGGCTGCCACGCCGCTGCCTCCATGCTGTTTGGATTTGGTTGGCTTCTCCATCCCACCCAAGGTAACACAGCATCTTGTGTCACCCCCCTACTGCTGACATCCGAGCACTTGAGGTTTTTCTTTGGAGTAGTGTTTTGTTTAGCTCATCTTATGTGGCAGGGAAAGGACACGAGGATGGAAAGAAGAAAGTCTGTTGCGGGTGCCAGCCCAAGGGCCAGGAGTAAAAGTACACTCTCATTTAGCCTCTACTTTAGTTTCTGTGTATTGGCCATACTGAATTGCGAGACTAATCGATGTCTACAATACAGTACCTGTATTAAAAATAACTACAACTAAAATAAAGCCTGATTCCTTGTTTCTAGAAATCTTCTCTTGTACCTTGCTTGGGCTTTAATCAGACAAGGTGTGTGGGGGCACCATTGATCCTTTTTCTTTTTTTAACTTTTTAATTTTTTATTTAAACTCAATTTAATTAACATAGTGTATTATTAGTTTCAGAAGTAGAGGTCAGTGACTCATCAGCATACGACACCCAGTGCTCCTTACATCAAGTGCCCTCCTTAATGCCCGTGACCCAGTTACCCCAGCCCCCCACCCACCTCCCCTCCAGCAACCCTGTTTGTTTCCTAGAGTTAAGAGTCTCTTACGGATTGTCTGATTTTGTCTTATTTTTCCTTCTCTTCCCCTTTGTTCCCCTGTTTCCTTTCTTAGATTCCACGTATGAGTGAAATCATCTGATACTGGTCTTTCTCTGACTGACTTGTTTCGCTTCGCATAATCTCCTCTAGTTCTTCCGTGTCGTTGTGTGCGCGCGCGTGTGTGTGTACCCACCACTTCTTTATCCACTCATCTGTCAATGGACATCAGGGCTCTTTCCACAGTTTGGCTGTTGTGGACATTCCTGCTACAGCACATTGATTTCTAGGGGTCAGGGCTTCCTGATACAAGCTCTCAGGCTGTCTACCAGATCCCGAGTTCGGGGTATGCCGTCCCTGGGTCAGGGACTTGCCGTGCCCACAGCTGTCATCTGAGCACCCGGAACCGTCCGTGTCCGACACACAGGTGCTCCTCTCGAGAACTGCCACTAGCTCTTGTCTTCCGATGGTTTATCTGCTCCTCGAGCTTCTCACCTGCTCCGTGGTTGCGCTTCTCCAATCTGCATTTCTTGGCCTCCGGCCCTACCAGTAACTCTCGGGTGGTAGGATTTCTCAGGTGTTCCAGAATGGTGTTTCACATATGGCGCTGCTTCACAGCTGCTCAGTTTTCGTGCTCCTTCCACCTGTTCACATCAACAAGTGTGGTTCCTGCTCCCCAGAGCCCGCCCGTCACCGGGGCCCTCTGTGCTGGTCCAGGCACCTGCCTGCACACCGGGCTCTGCAGCCCTCTCACTGGACGACCGAGAGCAGGGCTCCGGGGCCAGGGGCTCATGGTCACGTCCCACTTCACCCTCTCATGGGGGCTAACTTCTCTTTGTCTCAGCCGTTTTTCCTGCCCCATGGGACTTGATAGGAACAAATGTACAAGCCTAAAAGTAGATAGAATAGTTCTTGCCTGTGGTAAGTGCTTAATAAATGTTAGTGTTAACCCTTCGCTCACTTCTCAGCCCCGTAATGTCACAGGCTAACCTTTCTAATCCTGGCTTTGAGCCTGCTGTTTTACTTAGAACTGCTGCCTCCTGAAAACTCAAGCACCTTCTCTCCGATCAGATGGCCCCAAGGTCCGCTGCGTCCCATGTGCCCGCTGGGCCCACCACGTGGGTTCACAAGCAGCTCTGCCCGTTGTGCATATGCTGGGGTTGGCTGCTTTTGCGCTCCAGTGGCAGACTTGAGTTGCTTTGCTTGACTCCTCGCACACCCCGTGTTCGTTCTTTACCTTGATGCACTTTCCTCTCTGGATCCCTGTCCCATCCATGTTCATCCCTTTTCAGTCATTAATTTTCAGCATTCAGCATAAGTTGGCTTCCTTTGTCCTCACCATCTCGACCAGCTACTCAGTACTTACCCAAAACAGGTGACACAGTGCTGCCCTTGCAGTGATCCCCCCCGATCTGTTGTGCAGGCGTCAAAGGCGAGGACCCCCACGCCCGCAGTGCTGCCTTAGGTGAGGCACTTGGTTTGCTTTGGTTTTGATTTTCCTGTAGGATTCTCTTCTTGCTCACATAAAACGGAGTTCTTGCTCTATGCCGGGCTCTGTTCTCAGTGCTTATGTGCATTCACTTTACTTCACAGCGATTTTATGTGCAAGAAAACTGCTATCGTTTTACACACGCACAAGTGCACAGAAGTGAGCTGGTTTCTTCGAAGGATGCCTAGAGTGACGGAGTTGTAAAGATTAAGTGTGACGCGTTTAAACATATAACAGAATAATGCTTGACTGTACACACGCACTTGATATTAGCTGTTACTATAGTACACTCCTAGTCAAAGCCTTTCAGTACTTTTTCCCTTAGAATTTGACAGTTAAATGTCAGAGTAGCGCATCGAATGGAGACTAGCTGCATGGAATGTTTGGTAGCCAGTCGAACAATAGAAATGTTAGTTGACAAAGACTGCTGAATACTGCTCAAAACCATTCTGAAGCAGATCGGTGCATGTGGGAGAATTAAATTTGTTGAGTCAGCCAACAGGAGTAGAGACCTGTGGGTGACTTCTGGGACTGCCCCCACTTGCTACTGGACCTGACCCCCGATTGGCTGTTCTCATGATCCGCCGGCAGAGCTGAGTTGTTGCAACAGAGACCATGGGCCTGCAAACCCCAGGATACTGACTGTAGGCCCTTTATAGAGAAAAGTTGCCAGCCCCTGAATTAGGTCAAGGAAACAGAATCTGCAAATGAAACCACAAATGCACAGTCCGTTGGCTCTCAGCAGCATTTGCTAAGGCAGCATGAGGAAAGTCTTGGCAGCCTGTAACCAGTGACTGGGTATTTGTATGGGAAGAAATGAACGTTGACTACTGTCCACCTTATACAAAAACTAATCCAAAATAGGTTACAGGTCTAAATATAAGCACTTCAGCTTCTATAAGAAAAGAGAAATATCTAAATCACTTTGGAATGGGCAAAGTTTTCTTGGGACACAAAGCACAAGTCACAGAAGAAAACACAGTGGGCTTTTACCACAATGAAGTTTTTCTGCTCTTCAAAATGAACAGGTAAGCCCTGGACTGCCACAAAGAAAATAATCTCTATGTGCCCTGACAAAGGACTCCTACTCTGAAGATAGAAAAATGCAAATAAAAAATAAGATGGAAAACCCAGTTTAGCAAATGGGCAACAGAGTTGAACAGATCATCACAAAGAAGGTACACAGGTGGCCAAGAAGAACGTGAAAAGTTGTTCAGAGTCACTAGTCATCCAGGAATGCAAATTAAAACCACAAAAAGATACCATTTCCCATCTGATAGAATGGCTAAGATTTAAAAAACCTGACAATACCAAGTATGATGAGAATGTAGAGCAACTAGGACTCATTGCTGTCTAAAATAACGCATCCAATGTGGAAATCGGTTGGGCAAGTTTCCAATTTTTTAAATTGGGGATACTTCTGCCTTAGGACTCAGCAATTCTACTAGATATTCACCCAGGAGAAATATATGTCCACAAAAGATACACAAGCAGGTTTATTGTTGCTTTGTTCGTAATGACAAAAGATTAAGAAAACAGGTCCAACAGCAGGAAAATGGATAAGCAGGTTATGGCATATTAATACAATAGAGTATCACTCAGCAATAAATAGGAATGAACTATGATAAATGCAACGTATTGTTATCAATCTTGAAAATGTCGAGGGAAAGGAGCAAGAACATAGAAGTAAGCGTGCTTTTTATGAAGCTCTAGAACTGGTCAGACTGATTGACAGTGCTAGAAATCAGAACACGGTTTGCTCCTGAAGGGGAAGGGAGGGATTGGCTGAAAGGGGCCCAAGGAAACTTTCTGGATAATGGAAATCAGCACCTTGTGTGATGGAGGTTACATGAGTGTAGACATTTGTCAAAACTCACTGAACTCAACACCTAAAATCTATGCACTTTATTACATGTAATTTATACCTTAAACTTTTTCTAAGATAAGGAAAAGGAGCAAAAAGTAAAGCAAACACTAAACATGGTTAGGGAGGACACATTGCCCATGTCACGTGGTGACCAGGGAATTGCCTTTCCTCCCCAGAACAGGAGAAGAGGCCAGATCTTGGTGGATTTGAGAAGAGGATCTGAGCATGCTTGGGTTAGTGTTTTCTGGAATCCAGCCTGGATTTGTCTGGGATGATACATTCTGGATTGCCCCTTTCCGTGCAATCGCCTTTCTGTCCTTGTGGAGGGGGAGGTTTACATTTGTTCAGTGCTGCCTGTGCCTGGTGGGTGGATGTCTCTAACCCAAGGATCAAATGTTAGGAAACACCCAAACCATGTCCTTCAAAACAGGTTCATTAATAAAACGAATGTTTTGAATCCACGTGTTTGCTGTGTCTTCTCTCTGAAGGGGTACTTTAGAAGGTTAGAGGGGGTAGGCACTATTTATAATCTTCACTAAAACTGTACAACCAACCTTTTGTCGCAGGAAGAAACGTGAGGGAACAGTAGTTTGCAGTGAGGGAGAGGCATGAAGGTGAGGCCAGAACTGTCCCACCTCTGCTTCCCCTCCC